TACACTGGTGCCTCTTGCATGAAAAAAAAAGCAGTGAACTCAACGACTTGAGTCATTTAAAAATGAGAGTACTATTTCCATGCTGTTTGTCTGGTCAAGCCTACTCATATCCAGTCCATCTGGTCATAGACAAAAACAGCAACCTGTTTTTAAAGAGCACTCCTTTAAATCAGAAGATTGCCTGTGGCAGCACAGTGAAAAAAAAAGCAGTGAACTCAACGACTTGAGTCATTTAAAAATGAGAGTACTATTTCCATGCTGTTTGTCTGGTCAAGCCTACTCATATCCAGTCCATCTGGTCATAGACAAAAACAGCAACCTGTTTTTAAAGAGCACTCCTTTAAATCAGAAGATTGCCTGTGGCAGCACAGTGATGAGTGGTTAGCAATGCTGCCTCACAGCAAATTCATGTGTCCAAATGCCTTCATGGATTCCCAAAACACGACTGTTAGGTTAGTTGAAGACACCAACTTGTCCTTTATTAGGTGTGAATGGTTGTCTGTGGGCAGTTAACAGACTATACAATGGGAGGATGGATGTTTTTATCTGACACTTGATGTATAGCCAAATTAAAAACACCACACTGCCCCTACTTTCCGCCTTCTATTTTCTGCATTTCTGCAGGAGATTTGATGTGAACAGGATGAGGCAGGACAGGAATGTACAGATCTTGCACTGTTCAAGAGTGAAGCCATTAAGCAAATGCATAAAAGGAACTGATGTCAGTCAAATACAGTCATGTTTATGTTTGCTAAATCCACAGATGTTATGCAAACATGAATATTAGCAGGGTAGGTAACACAATGCTGGCCAATAAGGTGGATAGGCAGAACATTGATGGGCACTGAAGGCAGTGTTATTGACAGTCTACAGTGTATTAGCTAAAAGTCTAGACAGCTTACACTGGTGTGATATAAAAAAAAAATGTGTAAAATGTCCGGACAAAGTCCATAAAGAATGAGGATTCCAAAAGCATACACACAGATAAGAGGTTTTGGTCACAAAAATATTAACTAAAACGCAAAACCAACAAAGTACAACGAAGGACGCTGGTAACAAAGACCCGGGAACAGGCGAGAACAAACCAAAAGCGCTTGCAAAAGGCAAGGAACGAGAGCAACGTAAATTGCTTGTCAACTTAAAGGACAAGAAATTACAATATACGATGAACATTACTTACAAGAACGAAAATACTATGAAATAAACGAGGCGGGGCTATGAGGCAAAAATGTCAAGAATGTCTCGAAAATTAGGCACTTGGAGACAGAGTCGTGAACAAGGCTAATAATCCGATCAGTTGTGACAATCAGCTTCGAGACAGGTGCGACTTGTGAGGGAACATCGACTCTCCAGCTGGTGACTGTAACAAAATACACAACAAAACAGGATCAATATAACGAAGATAAATAATTTCACAACCTCTTCCACCATTTCTGTGTTCTGTAGCCTGTATAGTTCAATTTAAAACATCTTCTGGACAGGGGACGTAAAGGTAAGCAACTGAGATACTGTGGTTGCAAAAGTGTGCACACCCTCTTATAATTGAGGACACGGCAATGTTCAAAATAAATCACTTACATTCAAATTTGTTCAGTCAGCACATACCTGCCACCATTTAAAGAGCCTCTGATTTTCTTTCATTTGGATTTTTTTTGCTTTGGAGCAGAAGCCTTTAAGGTGTTGTGCTAACACTGACTGTTATTTTGAAACATTGATAATTCCCGCCAACTTGTCTAAGGAACCAGGCCATGCTGAAGAAAAACAGTCCGAAAGCATGATTAATGCCATTGCTATTCTTCACTGTGGGTATCGTGTTATTTTGGTGATGATCAATGATGCGTTTGGGGCAAACGTGGATTTTGGAACTATGCCTAAAATTTTCAACACAAATCTCCCAAATACGTCGGAAAATGTGCTGTGTTCCGTTTAAACCAAGGCTGAACTTTTTTTTACCATAAATCTGTACCCCCTGTTCTAGAAGAGATCCACATCGTCAGTATGTGTGAATTCCAGGACTGGCATTTAATCATGGGGCAGTTCTACCAAGGAGTCATTACTTCACAATGAGCTTAATGATCAGTAATCACAAGTGTTATTTAAATTCCCGCCCAACCTAGAAAACAAGCAAGTTAGTCAATAACCAGAGAGCCTACCTCACAATACTAATAAAATGACAGCATAAGACATAACATGTAAAACACACACACACACACACACACACACACACACACACACACACACACACACACACACACACACACACACACACTCACTTCCTGAGCTAGACTGCCGGGTGCCAGTCATGGCATTTGTGCCTTAGGGTTGGTTTTAACTTGTGTGAGACAACTTAACGTGTCCTTATTCCACCTTGCATCATGCCATAGTGCCTTGTGTGTCATCGTATCATGTCACATACTTCTAGACTTCTCCCATCGCACTTTATTTTAAGCCACACAAATTCCCTCCATGTCAGGTCACATATTGGCTACAATTACAGGATTATCTCATCACATCACATTAGATCAGTGATGTGCGGTGAGGTTCATGGCTGTTGAGGCACTACCCTTCTATCGTCGGATATAAAAATATGAGCCCAAAATGTAAGATTAGTCTACATTTTAGTTTTGACTTTCACCGAAACATGTTTCAAATAAAGTTTTCAGTTTTTAATTATGTTTCAATCAATTCCATAATGTCTAACAATGTGATAGGAAGAAAAACAAACATAACAAAAAATTAATATAAGTTCATTCTTGTTAATTTTTTTCAAATCTCGCTTTTTAAAAAAATGCATTTGGTCTTCCCTTTATATTTAACCCTTTCAGGAACAGGACAGCGCTTACTACAGTGGGCAGCTTATCATGTTATCAGGTTACAGGGTACATAAAGGGTTAATATGATATGAAAGCGGCAATTATAACATTGCCTAGGTGCCTGCTATCTTAACTGCATGTCTGACATTTTTAACAAACCAATCCGTGTCAAACTCGGTAAAGAATTTGACAAGTTGTGCTGAATTTATATTATACATACATAGAGCACATTTGACAATAAAGTTGTACTTGACTTGACTTGACTTGACTTATCGGAGCCAAACACAGCTAACCTCAATTCAAGTGAATGGAAGATATCGTTAGGGACACCCAGTTAAAGATGACGGCTTGGTCTGCTCGGTCACAAAATCCGAGGTGTCCTCAAGTGGTTATGTATGTCTACGGTTTCCTCTACATCGTGCGCCAATAGAGAGCAGCACTGCCACGCCACATGCTAGCAGTGGCACGGTACTTTCTGGGCTCCAGTGTGCATTTGGAGTCGCTTTTTTGGGCTGTAAGAGTGACTAAATATGTCGCACACATTCATAAAAAATATTTACAGAATGTCAGCATATGTAATTCATGTTTGAGAAAATTAGTGATATACAAATGGCAACGTCTCTGGTGTGAGTGCACACGCCAACTGTCTGAAACTGCAGTGAATGTGTCCGTGCTCAGTGGAGGTATGGTATGTGCACTGCTTCACTTCACTCACCTCACCTTTTTTTTTAAAACTTCACATGCAGTGAATCACTTGTCTCAATGGACCGCATGTCCCTGCATCACTTGTGAGGAAAAAGAGAATAGAATCATCTAATATTAATATCCACTGGTTTATGACGTTAATATAGTTGCTGCATAATAGACTTATTTAATAGGACCATTCTAATAAATTACAGATTGCCAATTCATACTGTGCTGTATAAAATATGTACAGGAACTGCTGTGCATACAGTTCTTATCATTACAATAAAAAATTGTCTGGCACCTAATTATATTTATAGTTTATATTGCGCCGAACATCGGATTGAGAGAAAAATACCCATAATACAGATGGCCACACAATAAAGGTAAAATTGGCTCAAATTGATACAAAGTAATTTTGGTTGACCAGAAGACCTCCATTCCCAGCATGCCTGTGTATTTAATACTAGCTCAACTTTAATTAAATCGAATGTGATACTTGTCGGACTTGCTTCCGTTAAAGTGCGATTGCTTGTGCTTCGGAAGGCTCAAAAGCTCACTCCTGTATTGCATGAGTGACATCACCTGACACTTGATCACAGAGCTCCAAATATCAGCCTTAATCAGTTTCGCGTCTAAATTTGGCACATTAATTTACCCCAAAAGAATGGATATCTTTTATTTATGTTAATATCTTTTATTTATATATTGATTGGCTCCAGCCCTCCTGTGTGGAGTTTGCATGTTTTCATGTTTTCCCCGTGCCCGCGTGGGTTTTCTCCGAGTACTCTGGTTTCCTCCCACATTCCAAAAACATGCATTGTCAGTTAATTGAACACTTTAAATTGCCCCTAGGTCATTGTCTGGTGACCAGGTCAGGGTGTACCCTGCCTACTGCCTGAAGACAGTTGGGATAGGCTTTAGCGTGCCCGCGACCCTCGTGAGGATAAAATGGTTCAGATAATGGATCGATGGATGATAATACATTGAGAAAGATTTGATTCTGTGCACTAATTGTTGTGTGTGTGTGTGTGTGTGTGTGTGTGTGTGTGTGTGTGTGTGTGTGTGTGTGTGTGTGTGTGTGTGTGTGTTTTGCAGGTCATTGGCGTTGGGAACAAAGACTGGGTACAAGCTGTTTTCTTTGACCACAGTGGATAAACTGGACTGCATTCATGAGAGTGGTGAGTATGGGTCTTAAACCTCCTACCAGGTGAACCGCTTTATAGCGAGGGTTCACTGCATTCAGCATCCTATATGAAAAGTAAATTGCTAGTAAAGTTAGATTGCCATGCACGTGGCCTCGTACACATTCAGTCTTAGATACATATTTATTGTGTAAAGCAACCCCTTGGCATGATCGATTCAAGTGGATATATTTGTACTGGCCTAGTCCAAGAAATGTCTTTAACTACGTGGCCCAACAATTGTACCATATGCTGATTTTCCATTACAACTTCCAGCCCTGACACCTCCACCCTTTATTTATGTATTTGTGTGTCTTGGATGGAAGGGTCGTGCTGCGCGCCAGCGCTGCTTGACAAATAATTGCCTCTTCTTTTTTTTTTTTTTTGCCCCAAGTACCAGTATTTGGAAATGTTTGTATTATGTCATTTTCGAAGGCTAAAATGCATGGTACTATATTGGTAGTAGTACCTAGCGCAACATTACTTCAAATAATAAGGTTCAGCCGACTTAGCTTAAGTAGAGGGAAAAATGGAAGAATTGTCAATAGCAGGGGTAGGGAACTCCGGTTCCTCGAGAGCCATATCCTGCCTGTTTTCGATCCCTCCCGACTCCAACACACCTGATTCAATTGTTCATGATCATTTTAGGCCTCTACAGAACTTGCTGATGAGCTGATCATTCGAATCAGGTGTGTTGAAGTCAAGCAGGATCTAAAACAGGCAGGAAATGGCTCTCGAGGAATCGCAGTTCCCTACCCCTGGTCTATATATTAGTAACAGATAAGCAGTTATGTGTTTATTTTGTTTTGTTTTGCTTTGTTGTTTTTTTTTTTTTGTTTTTGTTTTGTAGATTTTGTCTTTATTGTTTTTTAGGAAGTTTGCACTAACAAGTACAGAAGTTCAGTAAGGTAAGAGAGGGGGAAAAGAAGAGATGTTCTTGTTGGAGAAGTAGAAATAGCTGTCATCCAAAGCACACTGAAAGTGGATGTTGTATTTGTGGAAAATATTGCTGATCAAGACGAGATACATGATGAACAGGAAGGCTCCAGAACAGAGCCCAGGGGCACACCTGTGCTGACTGGGATTGACTGGAAGGAGAATAATTGAAGTTGAATGAACAGAAGTGAGATTTAACAGTCAAGTTTTAACAGTTAATATGTAATGACCTGCGATTAGCTGGCGACCAGTTCAGGATGTACCCCGCCTGCTGCCTGAAGACAGCTGGCTTAGGCTCCAGCACGCCCACGACCCTCATGAGGATAAGAAGCGGTTCAAATAATGGATGGATGCGTATGGGATGACAACATAGTAACGAGTCCTGATATGATATCCACAAATCACCATACTGTTCATCTATTAACCAAACCGCTTATCTTCACAAGGGTTGTTACTACTACTTAATTCTTCAAATACGTGATTGGCTATCTTACATTAGGATATGTGCTCACTGGGCACTTCATTATAATTACTGTATGTAGAGCATATGTAAAAAATAAATAAATAAATAAAAATAGAGCTATTCATCAAATCTTTGGATCTTATTGGCTTGTGTTGTTGTAGTAAGCATTACTTTATTAATTGTCCTCATTGCTGCCCGTATGTCTACTTCTTGTTGTCCCAGCAGAGGCTTCCGATGTCTACATAGTGGAGCGTCTCTTCTCTAGCAGTCTGGTTGTTGTTGTAAGCACCACCTCGCCGCAGCGCATGAATATCTACCACTTCAAGAAAGGCACAGAGATTTGTAACTACAGCTACCCCAACAACATACTGGCTGTCAAGCTCAACAGACATGTAAGATGGGGGTGGTGTCAAAACGTTTTACCACTAATGAATCACCACACCTCGTCAGTTTTCTCTTGCTGTGAACTCGTTCAATGCCATGATCTAGCATTGTTGTTCTCTTCACATTTCACTCCTTAGATTGAAGAACAGTCACAATTCAAGTACAGTGGTACCTCTACTTAGGAACGTCTCTTCATGCGAAATTTTCAATTTACGAAACTCCTCAACAGGAAAATATTGCCCCTTGTTACGAAAGAAATTTCAAGATACGCAAGGTAAAAATACAGTATGGGCTGCGACTCGCAACTCAGAGTTTCCTGAACGTAACATACTTGTAGCTGCTCTGCCGTTGGCTATTAGTAAGTGTCATCCTGGCATCCCATTGGCTAAGAGGGACTTCTACTGTATCGGTCTATGTGTGTAGATAGATAGATATGTGTCTATGCAGCGTACTCGTCATTCGCCCGTCGGGCCATGAGGCGTTCCGATAGTTTTACGTAAATGTGAATCACCCAGAAAAAGTGTTCACCAGTCCGGTAATCGCTCACTCTGCTGATGTTTGCCTTGGACATTTTTGAAGGATTGCTAAAAGCTGACAAAGCAAACGTCCTTGAATTAGTTCTTTACAAAACACCAGGCAAAAACCACTTCTGAGAGAGAACATCGACTAAAGAGGGCGAAAAACAGTGAGGACGCAGTTAAAAGCTAAAGGACCATCATCTTTTATTCTTTACTCTATTCTTTGTTTTTTACATTGTGCACAACTCTCACTTAATGTAATTGTGACATGTATTTGTTACATATTTTGATGCATTTTTAAGCTTCAAACATTTATGTATGAATTTTGGGTGGTTTTGGAACGAATTGGGGCATTTACATGGAAAACGCATCTCTACCGACAACATTTTCTCGTGAAGAAATTTCTTCCAGAACCAATTAATTTCATAAGTAGAGGCACCACTGTACACAGACAGCAAGTGGCGTGTTTAGTTGTGATAGCGTGCTTTTAGGAAAATGTATATATGCTAATATTTTGAGTTGTTTTGTCTAGTTTTGAATTTGAAAAGTTTCCGACTTCTTAGTTGATTGTATTATAATTGTTTTAACGATTAAAGGGAACATTGGGTTTTCTGTTTGTATGAAATGCTCTCTTACTGTTTAAAATATTCAGATTGGTGATTGATATTTTGTAATCGAGAGGAGTTTTTACTTGATTCTTACTCAACTAAGCGGTAGCACTATAGAAGATGGCTGGATGGATTGTGAATGACATAAAAAAAAACATGCATGTTCCTTTTTTTTTTTTTCTTTAATTAATTAACTCCAGTGGAGTCATGTGCATGTCACCATAAGGTGTGTAAAACAGGGTGACATAAAAGCTGGCTGTCTCACAACTAGAAGGTTACTGGTTTGATGCCCAGTTGCTCCTTGACTGTGGGAACAGAGAAGTACCAAAATTGCATTCGCTAATGCTTCTTGGTGTGAATGAGCTAAACATGCTGCTTTACTCAGCATCAGCATTAAAGCAAACCAACCATCTAAAATCAGATGCTCCATCATTCGAGTAGCTCAGATTACTCAGATAGTAATATTGTGTCATCCCATTTACGTAAATGTTGTCCAAAAAGAGGTTTTATCTTGTACATTACTAATACACAATGTCCTTATCGGGTCTAGTTTTGTGGGAAGTTGTCATGGAGGTCCGGAATACACAGAAACCACCGCTTATGTAGTGTAACCACGGAGAATTTCTTTGTTTTTCTTTTGCAGAGGCTTGTTGTGTGCCTTGAAGAATCCATTTATATCCACAACATCAAAGACATGAAGCTGCTCAAGACTCTGCTCAACATTCCGTCCAACCCTTCAGGTAAGACTTATAGGCACGTACGTGGTGTAAACACTTACTGTTTCAGCACTATAACCACCACTGAAACTTAGGGACAAAACATACTATCCCTGAACATCCATCAGTTGCATTCATAGTAGGGTCCGATATATATTTTTTGAAGCAGATGTGGATTTTTGGCGGGAAAAAGTATAGATTACTGACGAATCGGCTCATTAATTTAAAAAAATAAATATGATGCATCCATCCATTCATCCATCCATTTTCTGATCCGCTTTATCCTCACAATGGTCGCGGGGCGCGCTGGAGCCTATCCCAGCTGTCTTCGGGCAGAAGGTGGGGGACACCCTGAACTGGTTGCCAGCCAATAGCAGAGACGAACAACCATCCACGCTCACACTCACACCTAGGGACAATTTAGAGTGTTCCATTAACCTGCCACGCATGTTTTTGGACTGAGGGAGGAAACCGGAGTACCCGGAGAAAACCCACACAGGCACGGGTAGAACATGCAAACTCCACACAGGAAGGCCGAAGCTGGAATTGAACCCTGGACCTCTGCACTGTGATGTCGACGCGCTAACCACTTGAACACCTTATATATAATGCATATAATAAAAATTTCACCCTCAATACATTTCAATGGGCGTCAATTAAAGCAGATTTTTGACATTTGTGGGCTGGCCTGGTCCCTATTCCCACAAATACCGGGGGTCAACTTTAAAAATATCGTTTAAAAAAAAACAATACACTATTCTTTTCGGTTCCCAGAATGCATTGTGTGGTGTCATGCATTTAATTAATGAAGTTATAAGGGCATTAATCCTTTCAAATATGTGTTTGTGTTACCGCTAGTTGAATGTGTACTAGTTATATAACACAATTATGTTGGATTTATGTTGAACTATGTTTTTGTTGTATTTATTTATTTATTCATTTTAAACAAACCCATTACTTAAGGTTGTGTGTAAAATAGTGACATCCAGGTTAATTCCTTGCACAACTTGCATAGCTCACCCAAGCGTTGCTTGGACAAGTTAAGATCGGTTTTGTTTTGATTGACAAGTCCATAGAATACCCTTAGCAGCAAATTTCATTCTATATATTTGAAGGAAAGTCGCTGATGGTGTAGTGGTACCCTCGTCTGACTTGTGGGATGGGTTCCCGCTCACTGACGGTGTGGATGTGGGTGTGAAAGGTTGTTTGTCTCTGTTATGTGCCCTGCGACTGACTGGCGACCAGTTCAGGCTGTTGCCTGCCTCGTGTCCAAAATAAAGTGAGATAGGCTCCAGCAGGGGACCCTGTTCAGGATAAGCGGTGTTGAAAATCGATGGATGGTTATTTCAAGGAAGGCTTCGTTAATTTTACATTTGTGGCCTGATTGGTAGTAATGAATTAGTTTGGCTTGTAAAAACAGACAAGAGCTGAAAAATACACCATTATATTGATGTAATTCACTTTTCTGACAAAATGTTCAACAAACGGGTACATCAATGATGGGTCCACTGAGACGTAACCTGTGTAATTTATTGCTGGACAATATACACACATTGAGGAAGGTAAGGGACTCAAACAAAAACAATGCCAGAAACAGCAAACACTGTGCTGTTAAACGGTTGGGTCCTCATTCAAAAGTTTACCTGTCACCATTTTGTTGCACAAAAAATGTATTAGGTGCTTTGTATCATCAGAAGCAAAGACTGCCACATGTCGAAAAAAAGTAAAACATTTTCGTTTCAAGTGTCATTATATGGGTTACTTCAGAGCTATTTTTCCAAGAAGAAAAATTGGCGTTTTGGCGCATTGTTAAAATGATAGTTGTATTTTTTGGATGGTGGAGACTTGCATAACTCAAATAAAGTAAGCCCCCCATTGAGCACATTTTGATTCAGAAGATTCAGAATCGCCTTTATTGTCATTGTATAGCATACAACGAAATTTGGGTGCCACTCCTTAGTGCATTTCGTAAAAAAGATAAAATAGAATAAAATAACAGTTCAATAAATACAATACTCAAACAACACACAACAACAGCAGCAGTATTGGTAGTGTGGACTGAGGCTTATGTCGCGCTCAGGACACATATTGCACATGAAAATGGATGGCTCAGTTGTTCCTTATTGCACAAGTGAGGTAGATGAGTTCAGGTTTAAAATGCAGTAGCTTGGTTATATTCTGTGATTATTTATTGCAGTAATAGCTTTAGGAAAAAAACTGTCTCTGAATCTGCTTGTCCGGGTTTTGTGTGATCTGTAACGCCGACCCGAGGGTAACATAACAAACAGGTGGTTGCTGGGGTGGGATGCATCCTGAATGATGTTGGCAGCTCTGCTGAGGTAACGTAAGCTGGCAATCACCTCCAGGCTGGGCAGAGAGCAGCCTATAACATTCTGGGCCAGATTTATTACCCTCTGCAGTGCTTTCTTGTCTACTGCTGAGCACCTGGCGTACCATGCTGTAATGCAGTACGCCAGGATTTGCTGTCTTGATATTTCGCAGATTTTCTTTAATAACTAATTTGTTAGCCAATATTGTTGCTTGTCTGCTACTCAGGATAATAATAAGTGCCCAACTTGCGATGGCCATTGGAGATACCCAAGGAGCTCAAATTGTTAATGACATATGGATAAGTTTGGATAACACATTGACAACAAGAAGTTGGAACACTTACACCTGGTACTGGCTTGGCATAAGCATGTCAGTGTTTCCGTGTGAACAGTTATTATTTTGACACTGTTGTTCTCTGTGTAAAATGCAAAAACACAAAAGCTCTTTTCTTCTAGCTTCTTATGTACACTTTTGCACTAAAATCCCTTCTTTTCAGGCCTCTGTGCTCTATCTACCAATCATTCCAACTCCTACCTGGCATACCCTGGCAGCGCTACGATGGGAGAGATATTAGTTTATGATGCCAAAAATATGGTAAGAAAAAAATCTGAAGACAGAAAACAAATATACCACCTTGTGAAAGTTATTTTATTATTTTGTATTAAATACTGTGTGAGACAACAACGTCTAGAGGGGTGTGACCAAATAGGATGAATAAAAACCTTATCTCAGGGGTGCCCAACCTTTTTTGATCGAAGATCTACTTTTCCAGCAGCCAACCTCCCGCGACCGACCCGTGACTGCACGTGCACGCATACACATGTGCACACACATGCCATTATGAGCAACAGCCATAACGACGGACCCTAACATCAACAAAACTGAAAAGTAAAGTGGATACAAGACAAGACTGAGTTTTTACAAAGGAAATCACTGCCTACCTCAGTGGGAGACCTGACACATGGAGGCAGAGACACTTTTGTAGCATTTTAGTGCAGAATCATCACTATAGTCGCTCGCGTGTACCCTTTTAAAATGCTGCTCCTGGAAGTTCAGATTCTCTTTCTTTGACAATGCCTTCGGTGCATTGCAGAACAAACAAAGTTTGAATGAGAATAAACAAAAAATAGATATATTTCAACGGCTCTGATCGCAAGCTGTAATTCCAGACTGTATTGCAGCGAACTCAACTCAACTATATTTATAGACTTGAAAACAACCAGAATGGGATGTACAGGGAGCGAACACCATAACTTTCTTTGGACTGAAATTTTAAAAATTCAGTCCCTTCCAGGTCTTGATTTCCTCCATCCAGATAAAAATGTGGCCACAATAAGAAAGTGTGATTTTTGCTTCGCGCAACGTACATCTGACAGCCATCTGAATAGCAGTGGAAGGAAATACCATGCTTCCTTAAGATGGAACCCAAAGGTGACAGATACAATGAAAACAGCAGACACCCCAGAATTGAACCCTGTAGAACACCATACGGCAGTGGAGCAGGGCAGGACTCAGAGCAAAGAAGGCAACACAAAAAGTTCTGTCAGCCAAATAGGATCTGAACCACTCAAGGACGCTAACACTCGTGCCCACCAGGTGCTGCAAACGAGCCAATAGAATACTGTTATCAGCCATATCAACAAAACAATCCAACAAAACCACACACACATAGTCTGCAGTGTCATTTACCAGGAGCAAGTCATTAAAAACTCACAACAGGCCTGACTCTGTGCTGTGCATCCTTTTAAAACCTGACAGGAAGACCTCCATGATGTTTTGTTTATCTAAATGTTTTAACTGCATGTGCACCACTTATTCCAGATTTTTGTAAAATAAAAGGCAACTTGGAAATGGGTCTAAAATTTGACGGTACATCTTGATCAAGGCCAGGTTTTCTTCAGCAAGGTTTGGGGAACTACAATAGAAGACATACTGCTGATGATAATGGTCAAGACCGATTTACCAATACTTGGGAGAATTTCCTTAAAGAAATGCTGAGGAATAGTCTTAAGAGGAAACCAGATGGCTTCGTCTGGCAAACCACATCCTCTAAAAACATCAAGGAAGCAACTTAAAAAGAATTTAACACAGCTGAACACGGACCACTCTTGTTAAACAGCGTGAATTCTGTCATTAAACCAAGGCTTGGGTCTACCTTTTGACTGCACGGTTTTTAATGGAGCCACCGAATTCACTATAGCACGGCAGGATTTCCATTCATCCAGTGGGTGCTGCATGTGCGTCCCAATTTTCATAGCCCTAGGTGAAATGTACTGTGATTGGATTTTGTTTTTCCACTCTCGGCGGCAGTACAGAGCCATTTTTTTGTAATGCATGATGAATTTAAAATATGACATTTTTCCCGAGGCCTGATGACTGTTCAAATTTTGGTGAGTTTTCGTGCATGTTTTGCTCCTAAAAAGTGTAATTATTCAGCATAAGATTAGGAATAATTCCTACAAAAACAATGGGGACCTCGCAGCGGTCACTACTCGGGCCCGAATTAAGTAGAGTTTTTATAAATGCATGCCAGTGTGATTTATAATACATATCTTTTGTAAAATCCTGTTGTTCGTTTCAGAGCACAGTGACGATGGTCCCGGCGCACGACAGTCCTTTGGCAGCTCTTTGCTTCAATGCGTCAGCCACCAAACTTGCCAGCGCCTCGGAGCGGGTAATTCCGACAGATAGACGCAACATCTTTACAAGTCAAATCTGATATGTGTTGGGTTAATATTGATGAGTCTTAATCTACCTTTTAGTGGGGGGGGGGAGGGGGGTTAGAGGTCTACTATATGTAAATAAGTTCAAACATAATACTAACCATAAAATGTCAGTCTGTAAAAATAGAATATTTTTCTATAATTTAATTTTACTGACATATAATGTATATAGTATATGCATGCGCGCGCACACATACACATACACACACGCACACACACACTTCTCCATCCATCTATTTTCTAACCGGCTTATCCTCACGAAGGTCACAGGCGTGCTGGAGCCAATCCCAGCTGTCTCCGGACAGGACACTCTGAACCGGTTGCCAGTCAATCGCATGGCACACATAGACGAATGACCATTCACACTCACAATCACACTTAGGGACAAATTTGAGTGTTCCATTAACCTGCATGTTTTTGGAATGTGGGAGGAAACCGGAGTACCTGGAGAAAACCCATGCAGGCACGGGGTGAACGTGAAAACTCCACATAAGAAGGCCGGAGCTGGAATCGAACCCTGCACTGACACTGGGAAGTGGATGTGCTAACCAGTCGTTCACCGCGCCGCCATTACACCCCACCTAATCTATATATCAGGGCTGGGCAGTATGACTGAAAAGTATCTTTTACATAAGTATCTCATCTTGGTCAATATTGATATACATAGAACTTATATTTTGTGGCACTTCTCTGCATGATCTCAATGGACTTCATTTACTAAAACATGCAGCCACCACTGTTTATTCATTCAGGTTTGTTCCTATGTACAGTATGATGCCATTGTGTCGTCGAGATGCGTTGACAAATTGTGGTGTTCCCATTACATTTTACTCGCCATTTGCAATGGCTTTCCATTGCAACCAAGACAATCTCCTTTGTTTCAAAATCCAAAGTGTATCCACACAAGCGAACACATTGTACTGCTGAATTGTGATTGGAGGAGGCTGAAAAAAAAAAAAAAAAAAAAAAAAAACGACAATGAGGTACGCACAGAGCTTACGAGAAGTACAACACAGATCTGTCTGCTCATCCAATGCTGAGATGGGTGACATAACGAAACGTATGAAACGAGAGACAGCTCTTCTACGAGAGACAGCTCTTCTAAAAAAAATTTTTTTTAATTGTGCATAACCTGTAAAAAGGATCGTTCCTACTTTGAGGTTCCACTGCAAATGTGGGGGTGGCATGGTTCAATGGTTTTCAGTTTCCAGCCCAGAGGTTGCGGATTTGATCCCCTGGCCCCTGTGACCATGTTGAGTGTCGTTGAGAAAGATATTGAACCCCCAGTTGCTCCTGATGCTGGGTCATCAATAGGCTAATGAGGAGCGCTTTGAGTGCCTTGTAGTGGGAAAGCGTTATACAAGTGAAAGCCCTTTTACCAAGACCACATGTACATATGTGTACAGTACTGCAATTTATACACCCGGTGACAGCAGTATTTACAGTTGCAAGTCCCTGTTTCGTTTTCTTCAGCATCTGGCATAATTTGTGTTGTTCTTGTTTAAGGAGGGTAAAGATCATCCTCACTGTCTTTTAGGGCACTGTAATCCGAGTGTTTTCCATTCCTGAGGGCTTCCGTCTATTTGAGTTCCGTCGTGGCATGAAGAGGTAAGACATCTACCGCATTTTGCATCTACATACTGCATCATTTTGTAAAATCACTGCATGACATATACGAACATGAGTTAAAAAAAAAAAAAAAATTAAAGTCATCACTCTGATTAAACTAGCTTTAAAATGTTGTATTACCGTTACGTGTCTATGTTTTGTGTTTTGTCTGCAGGTACGTCAACATCAGCTCTTTGTCCTTCAGCCCTGACGCCCAGTTCCTCTGTGCTTCCAGCAACACTGAAACAGTACATATCTTTAAACTGGAGCAAGTGGGACCAAGGTATGCGCGCGCACACACACACACACACACACACACACACACACACACACACACACACACACACACAGTGATTATAATTACACAAGCACACACGTAGTTATACCGGTAATTAAAATTACATACTGTCGTTAAACCACATCAAATTTTGCATGCTCCTGACCCAAACAGAATGGCATATTTGCCCTAAAATTAGCACCCAGACATTAAAAATGTGCATTCTTTTTACGCTTAATATTTGCCAGCCACAAAGAAAAGTTTCCAGGATTTAGAGTGATCTTATTAGCCTTTGCAATTTGCAAATATAAAACATTTAATTGTCTTAACCTTTATTTTTGTTACTTTTCTCAGATTTTCTTCTTTGAACTTCAAAAGTTCTCCATCTATTATTCCCAATAACGAAAGTCTTGATCTGTCCTATTCTGAATGAATGTTGATTTGAAAAGAAAGCACAGTCCAAGAACTAAAATGGGAAAGAATTTTCTGTAATATTTTTCGTAGTATTTTTTTTGTTGCTCTTCGCATCTGCCTCACCTGACCGCACATCCCTGTGTGAGACTTGACACGTTGAAAACACTGAAAGAGAATAATTTCAAGTCGGCTACAGTCTGTTCATTAGTCATCTAATTGTATTGTTTCTTCCATCTTTTGTATTTATGTCCCAGTAATATTCAGAATACAAAAAGATGTGACTGTATTCTGTTACACTTACAACCCCCCACCCACATAATCAGATTACTTGTGGGATGCAAAGGTCTTTGTGTCCATTGACTACATTCAGATAGTCGTACTATCATTGGAGATTACTGTGCCAATTTGCTGAGGCAGCTGCGAAAGGCAAGTCAACACGGCTTGGAAAACTGACGAATGGGGTTCTGTATGCTCCTGCACATAAGCCTATGGTGGCAATGGATGCTGTGGCGGGTACACAGTAACACAGACAGTCAGAAACAACTCCAACTTATTACACTCACTGGTCAGCACTGTCTTGTAGTCTTTTCTCTTTTCTTCTTTCGTTTTACCCTCCCAGAGGGAAAGTTTTTCTTTATCTTGTCTGATAATCAGCCACTCATTATTTATTCATGTAAAAAGCGCCAACAGCAGCACACGTGGCTCTCTCTCTCTCTCTCTCTCTCTCTCTCTCTCTCTCTCTCTCTCTCTCTCTCTCTCTCTCTCTCTCTCTCTCTCTCTCTCTCTCTCTCGGTGGCCCTGCTGGCTCGGGTGGCCCAAGCAAATTGCCTACCTTGCCTAATGGGAAACTACGCCACTGCCTTTCAGAATTTGAGAACCAACTGTGTTTTCAAGATCACATGTTGTTTTATTTTCTCTCGAGAGCGGAACTGATGCACCGAGAAACGCGTGCATTCTGCCACCTATCACGAAATGATAAAAAACACATTTGGGTCGGTACTTTTGTGCCCAGCGCAAGTCTCGTGCAAGGTGCAGTCTAACTGTACGCATGGGTGGAATTTTCTTTGGTTTGGGTATTTTGCTAGACTTTGGTAAAATTGTTCGGAACCTTTGTCCGCGGTTGCGGGATGGAAATCGTCTTTTCCTGGCCAATCCACGTAGCAGCCCTCATGAGCATCAAATTCAGTGCGGTCGGAGTGCAGCACATCCGAGTATGCCGTGTTTGACGTTGTGGAAACAGAAATAGAATCGTTGGAGTTTATGCATAACATTGGCAGGTAAACTGCAAACTCTCCCCTTGGGGATGATGTCGGCCGTGCATGTGAAATAGAGCGCTAGGTCTTTGTGGTATTGGTAGACACCCAGAATACACAAAAACATTGTTTTCCTCTCTTTGTATCTAAAGCAAACTTTTTTTCCCGCATACAGTGGAGATGAGACTTGGTCAGCCTATGTGGGGAAGATGTTCACAGCAGCCAGCAGCTACCTACCTGTTCAGGTATCTGGTATGATGAGCCAGGACCGCGCCTTTGCCACAGTTCATCTCGTCACGTCAGGCCAGAAGAACGTTTGTGCTCTTGCCATGTAAGCCTCATTGTTCATGCTGTAATGATGTGATTTAAAAAAATTTTAAGACATTTCTACCTACCTTTCCCTGGTTCGCATGACAAGCTGTATTAAGTGGCTATCAGGTTTGAACAACTTCAAAATTGTCGGCGAGTTTAATGTAAAGATAATCGGGTCATTGTTGTTTTTCTCAAAACTCTAGTCTCATTCAGACAGACCGACACTCCCTGCATACTGACCTAAAATTGAGGTGTCGAACAGTTGAGTATTTGGGTGGATGGTCATAACTGTTTCAAAATCCAGTTCATTTTTGCAGGATCCAGAAGCATCCACGTTTGCTGGTGGCTACAGCTGATGGCCAACTTTTCATCTACAATGTGAACCCACAGGACGGAGGCGAATGCATGTTGGCGTACAATCACAGGTCAGGCCATAGGGTTGCGTCTATCTTTGTTTATGGAATTTTCATTGTTAGTTTTTATTGTTTTTTTGCAAATGCCCATTTTATTTTGTATTGTTAGTTTCAGCATTAGTTTTTGTTTTTTTTCTTTCCAATTTTAGTTTTAGTTATTTTGTTATTTTGAGTGGGTCATGTGATAATCTCAATCCGTCAGTACTGATGAAAGGTCTGTTAGTAAATCACTGATGGACGCCTGTTTTGTTGGTGAATGACCAATGGAACGGAAGTGGTGTTTTTGTCTGGGATCATCACTACCCGAGTCAGTTACCAATGGAATTTCTCAATCCGTCACTGCCGGACTCCCATTTAACTGATGGAAAGACGCGCTGCGTGTCTCGCGTGTTTGTTTGCCGGTGTGATGACGCCAGTGTTCCTTCGAATATAGCGGTGGAGGGGCTTCTCGAGAAGTCCTCTCTCAGGAAAAGAAAAAAATTTGAACATCAATCTGTTAATCTGATCGTTTTGTTGGCTGCTAAATCTCGGTTCCCATTCTCCATGCCGTCCCGGCCTTTATTATGGTTCAGTTGGCTTCCAGATTAACTGGCTCCCAATTCCAGATGTGCCTGTCAGGCCAGCCATGTTGTGTTTCTTGTCTGCAGATTCATCACAAGGTATATGGAAATTGCTCAACTGCATACAGTTCCAATGAAAACACAACGGCTTGATTTTTAAAAATCAAATCAAATCAAATCAAAAAATACGCCGAGATGACAAGTTGTCAAGTTGCTTCCCAGAAGCCAGTTGACATTGGCGTATTCATTGAAGACCAGATCAACCTGTGCCATCTTGCCATGGAACTTGTATACATCTACCAATTCTGTACCAATATAAGTTTGCAGCTTGTGGCAAAGTACACTGGTCCCAAATCACCAGCCCATGGCCCACTCATTTGGGACTGCGCCGCACAGAGACAGACCAAGAATTGTGTTTTTTTTTTTGTTTTTTTTTTTTTTTTTGCGGGGTAGTGCGTCAACCAACCCTCCACCCCATCGATTAATAATATAAGGAATAAGATATCCTTTATTTGTCCCACACTGGGGAAATTTACAGTGTACAGCTGTAAATGACCTTCCAAAGGGCAATATAAATAGGGCTGGGTGATTATATCATTGAGAATGTGAGTCCAGTTTTGAGTCCAACTTTGCTTTGCAAGTTGAGGTAAACAGAATCTGCCAATAATTAAATAAGTAGCAAGCAGAAGGCAATACAGTGGTACCTCTACTTAAGAAATTAATTGGTTCTGGGAGACATTTCTGAACTAGAAAATGTTGTAAGTTGAGACGTGTTTTCCATGTAAATGCCCTCATCCGTTCCAAGACCCCCCAAAATTCCGACATAAATGTTTTCTAAAGCATAAAAATGTAACAAATACATGTTACAATTAGATTATTGCACAATAAATGGGAGTTGTGCATAATGTAAAAAACAAACAATAAAGAATAAAAATGGTCATTTAACTTTTAACTGCGTCCTCATTGTTTTTTTCACTCTTTAGTTCATCTTCTGTCTGTGGTTTTTGCCTGGCATTTTGTAAAGAACTGATCCAAGGATGTTTGCTTTTGTCAACTTTTAACAATCCTTTGAAAATGTCCAAGGCGAGCATCACCAGGGTGAGCAATCGCCCAACCAGTGAACACTTTCTGAGTGAGTCACATTTACGTAAAACTATCGAAACACCTCATGGCCGGCGAGGCGAATGACGAGGACGCTGCATAGACACACATCTATTTATCTATCTACACCAGTGCTTCTTAACCTGGGTTCGATCGAACCCCAGGTGTTCAGTGAATCGGTCTCGGGTTCGACGCAGCCTCTGCCATGGGGCTTAAGACACACCTGCCTCAATATGTCAGTTAGTTATGACACGCCCGCTTGGCCATCACTGGCTGCAGATGATCACTTTGCATTGCTTGTCCAATCAGTGCTGCGGGAAATTTAGTTCGCTCAGTAGTCACCGTGTGACTGTCGTGATAGTACGTCATACAATTAAAAAAAACTATACTGAGGCCATGTAATTTTATTTACTTTTTTCTGTTTTTAATAAATGTGTTTTTTTTTTAATATCTTCAATTTGTAAAAAACACATTTTCATTTTTCACTAATGAAGGGTTCAGTGCACGTGCATATGAACTGGTTGGGTTAGGTACCTCTAACAAGGTTAAGAACCACTGATCTACACACATATACACATACGGTAGAGGTCCCTCTTAACCAATGGGATGCCAAGATGATGCTCGGTAGTAGCCAATGGCAGAGCAGCTATGAGTATGTTGCGTTCAGGAAACTCGGAGCTGCGACTAGCAGCCCATACTGTATTTTTACCTTTCGTATCTTGAAATTTCTTTCGTAACAAGAGGCAATATTTTCCTGTTGAGGCGTATTGTAACTTGAAAATTTCGTATGAAGAGACGTTCGTAAGTAGAGGTACCATTGTAGTCACAAAAATACCAAATTATTATGATATTCAGCGCAATTCTATTAATACTGATCAGGTGTCCATCGCAATATACTGTATATTGATATTGAATTATTGCCTAGCCCGAGGTCAGGTACATTCGCAGTATAAAGTTGATTAACCCTCCTCATTTATCATGACAGTCTACTTACAGTATATGTACGTGACAATTATTTATTTTGAAATTTTAGCATACACATTGCCTGCACAGTAAATAAAGGTTTTACAGTGTAAGTTTGGGCTGTGGAACAAATATAATTTATCTCGTTGGGGAATGTTGTTTTGGAAGATGACCTCATTAAAATTTGAATCAAGCGTCTCAGATTGAATTGTGGTCAGATTTGTACCGCTCTCTACTGAAGGACATTCATTGAGATAATCTTAGCATTTGCAACCAGAAAAAAAAAACACCAGTTCATGAAAGAGACCGATATAAATACTCGAGGTCAGGGGTGGCCAACCAGTCAGAGACAAAGAGCCAATTTTTTTACTGTGTTACTGCAAAGAGCCATAACATACCCTTCCTCGCGCACGCACGCACGCACGTGCGCGCACACACACACACACACACTTTTATGGCCAAAGATCGACTTTTGAAGCGACCAATTTCTTACGGATGACCCGATCGCACACGTGCAAGCATACACACACACACACATGCGCGCTCGCACTCACGCGGGTGCCCACCAGTGCACTCGCGCACATATGCACACACACCACGATGAGCAACAGTCGGAACGGGCCGAAAATGAATGAAAGCTAAAGATACAAACACACAAATCTTTTTTTCCCCACCCATTTCCTCCTCGCACCCTTTGCGGTCGACTTGGGACCAGTTCGCTGGCTCCGGTCGATTCTGATCGACATATTGGGCACCCCTGCCTTAAAATCAGAGGTAATTCGCTGACTAGCTCAGCGCTTAGCGCCGTTGTTTGCGCATGAGCGATGATGCAGTCATCTGATTGGTTGCCCTCTATGTCAATCAAGTAACGGGATTGATGATAGGCTGACTAGCTTAGCGCTTAGCGCCGTTGTTTGCGCATGAGCGTTGATGCAGTCATCTGATTGGTTGCCCTCGATGTCAATCAAGTAACAGGATTGATGATAGGCTGACGTAGTACGTTCTGTGAAGTTAGCGCCTTGTTTGAATGGCATCGCCACTGCCGAGGCGTTTTCGACACTTGTCGTGTGAGAGCCCGGGAGCTGCATTGAACCAGCTAAAGAGCCGCATGCGGCTCGCGAGCCGCGGGTTGGCCACCCCTGCTCTAGGTCTATGTACAGAGACAATGAGTTGTTCATCAAGAAATTTGCTCTCCCTCTTTTAGGCTTTTTGGTGTTGACGATCTGATGGTAGCACAGGCATGTCCCTCATATGCTGCAACTGTTGCCTTACCAGCTTCTAGTCCTATCACAGCAACTCTCACTGGTTAGTAGCCGTACAATGTCTGCCAATTAGTTTGTCCACTATACAAAGAGTTTGACTGACACTGATAAGAAAACTATTGACTGTACTCCAGTTCACTGTAATCCTTTTGTTTTATGATTTCTTGTTTGCTTTACCTTTGCGGCCTGGTGTGCCTACAGTAAATGGTTACCTTAAAATATCTACTCATAGCTGGATGGATTGAAGAGTTGTATAAGTCATTTTTAAGATGTTCTTGAGTCGTTTTTGCTTCCCATCATTTGTTCTCCACTCCAGGCTACTCTGAAGATGGTGGAGCAAAGAACGGTGAAGTCATCCCAGAACACGAGTTGGCTGATGGACCCGTGTGTCTGGATGATGAGAACGAGTTTCCTCCTGTGAGCATCCAGAAGTGCTAACTAAGCAAGTTCCTGTTGTAGTAAAGCCGGTAACAATCTACTTTGTAAAAATGATAAGAATGTATTTATTTAGCATGTTTTCTCCAGCCAATAGTTTCAACAGTCATAAGAAACAGCAATGGAGTAGAAATGACATAAAACAAGACCTAGGTCTAGGATCCAGGAGTTATGCAAAAGCCCAGTAAAATCGCATTCAGGAATCCATCCATTTTTTTCCGATCCGCCTTATCCTCACAAGGGTTGTGGTGGGTGCTGGAGCCTATCCCAGCAGTCTTTGGGCAATAGGCGGGGGACACCCGAACTGGTTGCCAGCCAATGCAAGGCAGACACAGACGAACGACCATCCACGCTCACACTCACACCTAGGGACAATTTAGAGTGTTCAATCAGCATGCAAAGAATGTTTTTGGAATGTGGGAGAAAACCGGAGTACCCGGACAAGACCCACGCAGGCCCGGGGAGAACATGCAAACTCCACACAGGAAGGCTGGTTGAACCCACGACCTCTGGACTGTGAGGTCGACGCGCTAACCACTGGAACACCGGGCCGCCCGCATCCAGGAATAACACACTGAATTAAGAAAAAAGCAAAAAACAAAAAAACAGCACAGCTACCAAATTCAACTGCCTTTGCGTACTGTTTGAACAAAAACAGTATTGATATTATTTGACTTGTCAATCTTCTTACACAATGTAATCATAAAACAGGTTGTGTTGGAATCGTAACTAAGTTATTTTTTTGTGAAAAATGTCATGCAACAGAAGTAGTTAGGGTAGCTCATAAACTAATCATCCTTGGTGTGGGTTAGGATCAAAATGCTTTGAAAGAAATGCTCAACCTGTTCTCAAGATGTTGAGAATGGTTTCAAGGGTCGATGAGTTATGGCCAATTTGTGTAATTTTCTAAGATGTTTTACAAAAACATGTTTTTTTCACAAATCTTGCTCTGACCTCGTTGGGGTCACTCCCCTTAACCTTTGGATTCAATTGTGTGTCAATAAAAAAAGGGTCAAAAGGAATTGTTTTATCAATACGTGCACATTTATTCTAAATTCATCTGCAGAACCAACCATTCAAATTTTGTATTTCATTCTTCATTGACCTGAAACTGTGTGAGAAGTTACAAGTGAATTTGACTCGGAAAAACCTTTGGGGCTTAATCATAGTGTCCCACCATAAGATGAACTGGTGAGAATCATGCAGGGGCAATACATGTTTTGCCAAATTTTCAGGCTTCTTCATGTTACTGTTTTGAAGGAGTTAACAATTTTGATGTAAGAAGAAATAAGATCATCCATCCATCCATTTTATATCATTTATCCATAGTCAGGTCGCGGGGGCAGCAGATTTAACAGGGAAGTCCAGACTTCCCCTCTCCAGCCACTTCTTTCTACCCGTCCTGAAGGATCCGAAGGCGTTCTCAGGGCAGCCTGGAGACTCTCCAATCTCTTCACCGTATCCTGGGTCGTCCCTGGGATCCCTTTCCAGTGGGACATGCCCGGAAAAACTCACTGGGAAGGCATCCTAAGTAGATGCCACCTCATCTAGCTCCTCTCAATGTGGAGGAGCAGAGGCTTGACTCGAGTCCCTCGCATATGGCGGAGTTTCTCACCCTATCTCTGAGGGAGAGCCTGGGAACCCTGCAGAAGAAATTCTTTTCGACTGCTTGTATCCAGGATCTTGTTCTTTCAGTCATGACCACAGCTCATGACCATAGCTAAGGGTTGGGATATACATAAACCAATAAATCAAGAGCTTCACCTTTCAGCTCAGCTCTTTCTTTAACACTACAGATCGATACAGAGTCTGCAGGAGACACTGCACCAATCCCCCTGTCGATCTACCGCTCCATTCTGCCCTCACTCACGAACAAGACCCTGAGAGACCTGAACTACTCCACTTAAGGCAGGATCTCATCCCCAACCTGGCGAGAGTACACCACCCTTTTCCGGCTAAGGACCATGGTATCAGATTGGAGGTGCTGATTTTCATCCTAACTGCTTCACACTCGGCTGTCAACCGCTCCAGTGAGAGTCAAAGATCACGGCTTGAAGAAGCCAACAGTGTCAAATCATCTGCAAAAAGCAGAGATGTATACTGAGGCCATCAAACTGGACCCCCTCAACGCCTCGGCTGCAACTAGAAATTCTGTCCAGAAAGGTTATGAACAGTGACAAATGGCAATCTTGGGTGCGCTCCAACTCTCAATGGAAACGAATCTAACTGACTGTGGGTAACCAAAATCTAACATTGATGCTACAGGGATGGAGCGGCCCGTATTAGGGCGGGCATTACCCTGTACTCCCGAAGCACCCCGACAGAAGTCCCCGAGTCACACAGTTGAATGCCTTGTCCATTTTTCCGCAGCCGGGATGAAAACCACACTGCTTCTCCTGAATCTGACATACGACTCCCCGACGGACTCTCCTCTCCATCACCCCTTACTGGGGAGGCTGAGTGTGATCCCTCTGTAGTTGAAACACACATTCTGGTCCCCCTTCTAGAAGAGGGGGACCACTTCCCCGGTCAGCCGCTTCAGAGGCACTTTCCCCGATGTCCACCTGATGTAGAGGCATGACGGCCAGGACAACCCACAACATCCAGATCCCTGGGGCTTTGACACCAAGGAGCTTATTAACCACCTCAGTGACATAAACTCCAGGAGAGTCCATCTCAGAGTCCCCAGACTATACTTCCTCAAAAGAAGGCCTGTCAGTGGGATTGAGGAAGAATTCTCCCCACCGATTCTCAGCATCCCGAATCGATGTCAGCAGTGCTCTATCTACAGTATACATAGTGTTAATGGTGCACTACTTCCCTCTCCTGAGACACCAGACTGTGGACCAGAATTTCCTCGAAGCCATCCGGAAGTTGTTTTCCATGGCCTCCCTGAACTCCTCCCTTGCCCGAATTTTTGCCTCAGTAATCCCCGAAGCACCGTTTCGCTTGGCCAGCCAGTACCCGTCAGCTTCTTCCGGCGTTGCACAGGCCAAAAAGGCCCGATAAGACTCCTCCTTCAGCTTGATGGCATCCTAATGCTGGTGTACACCAGCAGGTTCGGGGATTGCCGCCATGACAGTCTCTGACCACCTTATAGCCACGTCTCCCATCTGCCCCCCACCCCACCTGAAAATTGAAATCCCATCAGAACAAGGGAGTCCCCAGGGGGTAGACTCTTTAGCATACCCTCCAAGGACTCCAAAAGGGCGAGTCCTCTTCAGTGCATAGGCACAAACAGGCAGGACCTGTAAGCATGCCCACACCTGCTCTGCGCCTCACCATGGTCAACTCCAGACTGGAAGAGAGTCCAACCCCTCTCTCGAGAACTGGTACCAGAGCCCAAGCTGTGTATGGAGGCGACCAAGGACATGTCATGGCGAAACTGCTCTTGCTCGCACACCAGCTTGGGCTCCTTCCCTGCCAGAGATGTGACATTCCATGTCTGTAGAGCTAGCTTCTGTCGCCGGGGATTAGACGGCCTTTGGCCACCGCCCAGCTCATGAAGCACCCAACCCTTATGGCCTCTCCCACAGATTGTGAGCCCAGGGGAAGGGGGACCCATGTGGCCTCTAAAGGCTGAGACCAGCTGGACCCAATGGGTGCAGGCCTGGCCACTAGGTGCTTGCCAACACGCCACACATCCAGGCCTGGCTCCAGAGCGGGGCCACATTGACCCGCGTCTGAGCAAGGACAAACTCAGTTAATTTGTGTTACTCATCTGAAACCTGCACCAGAAAACTTCTCTGCTCCGAGGAGCATTGGGTCAGACAAACCCCTCCACCACTGTAAAATGACGGCTCAGAGGGGGAAATAAGCTTAATGTTATTATATATATTAGTTGGTACTCAAGTACTCACAAATATTTGTAGTTTCAGTAAAAGCAGATGCTCAAATTTTTCTACAGCTGTTCTATAAATACTGTTGTACATCTATATTCCAAAAATGGTGCATGCTAATCTGCAGCACATTACATTATCAGTTTATTAACTTTCTAATTTTACACAGTACTCTTTAACTTAACCTAAAAACACAAAAGTAGTCTTGTGTAGACTGTAGACTGATTCAAAAACGAGCTATCATTTGTTCAGATTTTGCAATTTTAAAACAGTTTTTAAAAAATTGCAAATGGTAATAATCCTATTGTATTTCGTCAAACTGTCACCATAAAGCTTCAACGTAAAAACATTTTAACATCCTTTACTGTGATACAAGTCTAAAACTAGTTAACTGGTAATCAAATTTGTTTTAAAATGCTTTTAATAGTCTTATATGAGAGTCAGATGAGCCTCATGCCTCAGGTTTTTTTTTAACATTCTTATCAAACAACCATAAAATGGTGTTAACTACTGTAAAGAGTTAATCCTTTGAGACTTGCTCAACCAAGGTCTTGTGAGATACACTGAAAACCCCAGCAATATGTCATGCGTAGTCATCTTGTTTTTGGACAAAAAAAAGGTTGTAAAAACAAACCAAAAAAAGAGGAAAAGCAAACCTAGTTTTGTGCAAATATTTAAGATTTTTTTTAGTTACATTTTTAGGTTTATCCATCATTAGAAAAGTGTCTTTCCTATCTTGTGGAGACAAAACTAATAAATCTGTTCATGTGTTTTGGTAGATTAGTTGGTGCCGGGATGGGACTGAAGTTGGCCAGCTCGTGAGGTTCTAGAGGTCACATACAAGCCAAGCAAGGGAGATGAGCAGGAATATCATTTTCATGGTGCCAAGCTACTTTGTCTGTCTGTGATGAAAAAAAAAATTGAAGACTTAACCCTTTGAAACAAGGCACTAACAATTTTAAAGAGTTCCTGTACAATTGTAGTTTGAGAAATGTGCCCATTTGGTAATATGTTCCAAAACAATGCCACAATGGTATGAATCAGATTTTGTCAAAAGTGGTTTCAAACCTTCTCCAAGCTTACTCAAAATATCACATGTGAGGTTGGAGGTTTTTTTTTCAATAATGGCAACTTAAAAGGAAATCAGGGAGTTTATGCTTAGGTATTTTATGAATATTTGAGGTGCATGCTGGGACAGCAATATCCCGTTAACCATAATTTGCAAAGCCCAACTACTTGACAAATATTTTATTAAGGTGTGTAATAGTAGCAACATGTTTAAATAATATCTTTGGTTTGTCTTCATCGCATATCTCATTTTTAATCTGTATTTTATTTTATTGTGTTGACATGAGTCGAGTGCTGGTGTCCTGAAAACAGGTCAGGAAATGTGTCTGTACTGTATGTTGTATGTGACTATTATCATTTATATAACAAAGCAAAGTATTTTGCTGATTGCACAAGACCAAAACAAATAAACAAAGTGGCATATAACTGGTAAATGGGATTTTTTTTTTTTTTTTTTGTAAAAACAAACCAAAACAGATTGCATTGTATTGAAGTATTGTATGAAAACGGCTGTGGGTTTATTTAGTGAATTAAACAAGATCCGTCCCAGGTCCAATTTCAAAAGATTTAGTGCTTACATAAAGGTGTTAACCATTGTTGCAAAAGTATGTTTAGCTGTCAGCAAAAAAAAAAAAAAAAAAAAAATCCACTTTACAGTCCAAAGTTGAACATGAGTTGTTCTTTTTCAACGGAGGGCATTGGGAACATACAAATATTAGTGTAATCTCATATACATTATACTTGACATGAAAAGGTCATGTTCTCAAAACATGTGAGCAAATACTTTTTGTTTCCAGTCACGAAGGTGAATCAATTCCGCAAACAAAAGATGTCGATTGCCATTGTTTATGATGTCTGTTCAGGCTTTTCCTTTCTTTTACTTTTAGATCTGACATATCAAACTGTTCTTATTCCTTACACCGTGTCAAAAATAAACATCTCCCAAACACGTGTAAAACTGCACAATGGTCCTCAACATTTTAACATTGCTTCAGTTAAAATGTTGAGGCATAATTTCAAAGGGTGTGTACCCCAAACATAACAAGCGTGGTGATGGCAGCATAATGCTTTATGCTTTGGTGCTGTTTCCCCCCCAGCTGGAGGTTGGGGCCTTACACAAGGTGGGAGGAGTTTGAAACAGTTGGAAATAGCAGTGTCAGCACAAAACAAAAAGCAGAGTCAACTAGCTGTTCATATTAAGACCGGGCATCCCGGACCACTGCGCCAGTCTCCTGTCCATCTTCAGACCGAAAAGCAAAGAGTGCAGCGGCACTCATCGTCCACATATAGCAGCCAACCTGCTTAAAACCCCTGCATGCTATTCAGGATTGGATTTTTAATGTCTACTCATTCAATAAAAGAAACCTTCATTCACAAGCCAAAATGGTCAGAAAAAATATACACTAGTATGGCGTCACTGTTCACCTGTGTGACTTCTGTGTAATTGATGACATGTGAATTGAAGTGTGGAAGGTTGTTCATCTCTGTATGAATGCCCAGTAAGTGATTGGCAAGCAATCCAGGGTGTAGTCTACCTCTCAGATGGAATAAGGCTGCGACTGTTAAGCTTAGCTTAGCTTAAGATGAGTACAGGACCCACGGGCAGACACAATGAACTCAGTACAGGTTTATTGTCAGGGCAGAGGGCCAGATCAAGGAGGCAGGAACCAAAGGCAGTCACTGCCAGTCAGAGAAACCAAACGAAGGTGTACAGGAAAGAATGGAAGCTAGGCAGCAGGGAAGATAGCTGACAAACTGGCCTTTCTGCTGCAGAGGAGACTGTGGCTGACGAGGTGAAGACTGGCAGGTGTGTAAGTGAGACAGGTGCATTGATTGGGGAGATGCCCAGCCCAAAATGAATTTAGGGAAGGGCAACCAAAAACAGAACAGAGGGAGGAGTCACACAGTGAAACACTGGGGACAGACGCAATCGATTTGAACAGCAACTACAAAGAACCTGAACTTGACATTTACAAAATGAGCCTTACAGTCAATGATTTCAAATGAACAAATGCATGCATTAGACACTTAACGAGACATATTCATTGTGGTAATACATATTGTACTGTGTCAAAAGCCACTGGATGATGTCACTCTACAAACACCTCTTCCTTCTCCATTTCATGTAATATACCCGATATTAGGTAAGAGTTTATACGTATTTTTTTTTTTTTGTCATTATTGTACTTGTATGATTGTTTAGAATGTTAGTTACTTTATGAACATTACAGTTTTAATGATGGGACCAATTTGGACAGAACTGATTCACTTTATATTATTTCCTCTGGGAAAATGTGTTTTTAAATCAAAACACCTTTGAAATCACAGTAAAGTACTGTATTGCACGTTTGACTAATGTTTTCAAAAGATGGTAACCATGACATAACACTATGTCCTTATTACCTATCACATTTCATCCACATTCAAGTTCAATAGTCCACTACATTTATGAGTGGTATGCTCTCATTTTTTCTTTTGGCTGTATAGATTAGGCCTCAACAGAAAGCATTTTGGTTATCAGCATGTGCTTGGTCTTGCATTATGCAACTTAGGCAACACATGAGAGACATACTGCTGAGAGAGGGCAAATTCTTAGGATAAAGAAAACATCCAAATGACTGATGAAAAAATATTCTATCATGTCACCGTACATTGACAGGTCTTTTGTCAGCCTTGTAATGCACTTACATAAACAATCACAAAGCTCTGACATAACGCACTGGAGTTATAGGACAGTTGCCTGTGTGAACCTTTCACTCATTGAACTTGGACTACGTAACAGCAGTCACTTCCATCTGCGCTGAGACAGCAATGTACTTGATCAACTTCTATATAAGCCAAACACACAAACTGTCACTTTGGTCGATGAGTTTATTTGCGATTAAAATAATTGAAACGACAGTGCATTGGTTGGAATCGTTTTGCACTCAGAAGTACAAACCACAATTCCAATGGAGTTGGGACGTTGCGTAAAACACAATGATGTAATGATATGCAAATCATTTTAAAAACACAATTGAACACATGACAAAGACAAGACATGATTTTCAGAAGCAAGACCCAAAATCAACATCGAATGCCCGTGATTTTCAATTCTCAGGCAGCATTGCTTGACAAACTGGCATGATTATGGAAAGGATATCACATGGGTTCAGGAACACTCCGGAAAACCGTTCGCAGTTAACAGTTAGTCGCTACAGTATATCATAATCATGGCTGTCGTATCCCCCCAGGCGAAAGAGGAAAAAGGATCATCAGGAATGTTAGCGGAAAGTTCAAAGACTAGAATCTGCGATGGTAAAGGGAGGTGTTATTAGCGTCTAACGTATGGGGAACGTTTACATATTTGAAGGCACCATTAATACCGAAAGATACATACAGGCTTTGAAGCAACAGATGCTACTATCCAAGCAGGATGGCTTTGTGGTAAAAGAGTGTGAGTTGCAGACTGGGCTGCCAGCAGTCCAGACATGTCTCATACAGTGAAACTCCTCTACAACGAAACCTACATGGGCGAAAATACCCCCTAGTGTGAAAAAATCTTCATGCATTAACACCATTCCCACTCTCCTGCCCCCCATGCAACGAAAAAAAAAGCCCTGTTGCGTTATATGAAATCTTTTTCTCTGCTCTTGCCTCGCGACGAGATTCACTACAACAAAGTCTAATCCAACAGCGACATCTACCCATCGTTCGGAAACAGCAAGAGCAACCACCACACTGGTTTACACATGCGCAGTAGTCCAGGAAGTATTTATTATTGTTAGTTTCAGACGCAGCAAGAACGTTGCATTGCTAAAATGGCCACAAAACGGACCTTTGGATGTCAAGCAGCTAAAACAAGAAGAGCTGTGACACTGGAAGAGAGGGTAAAAGTGATCAAAATGAAAGAAGGAGGAAGCAAAATAAAAGACATTATCCAAGAAATTGATGTAAGTGAAAGTGAATGCTGATCGTAAATTTTGCAATTTCTTTCCCTTTTTTTCTTTCTACACTGACTATATGAGGTGTCAAATAAGTTTATGCTCATACTTATGCACTATTGGAATAAAAATAAAGAGTACACATTCGTTTGTGTGTGCGCGTGTGTGTGTGTGTGTGTGTGTGTGTGTGTGTGTGTGTGTGTGTGTGTGTGTGTTTACATCTGAGATCAAATTTGCTCCAATGAAAAACCTCCTGTTGTGAAAAATTTCTTGCTGCAAACATGATTTCGTTGTCGAGGAGTGTCACTGTACTGATAAATGCGTGGCACATTATCAGCACAAAATACGACAATGGAGTTGTACTCAAGCAAGAATGGAACAATGAGTGTCCTCAGTTCCCAAATGCTTATTTGAGTGTTTTTAAAGGGAAGGTGATATAATACAGTGATTAATGTGCCCCTGTTCCATCTTTTTGGGAATGTTTTGCAGGCATCAAGTTCAAAATGAGTATTTGCAACCCAAAAATACCAACAAAAAAAAACCCGAAGAGTTTAACAGTTTGACCATTAACTATCTTGTGTTTTAGCTAATCCAATTGAATATACAGTACTGTATGTTGAAAATGATTTGCAAACCAGTGAAGTCGGTTTTATTTAAGTTTTACACAACTGCCCAACTTCATTGGAATGAAGGTTTGAACTCAATTTATCAAAAAAAAAAATCAACAATATAAATCCACAATCGAGGCATGTTATTTAAACACCCACATTTTGGACTATTGAATGCTGTATTAAAATGGTCACATATGTAAAGCTTTTAGCATTTTGTGATTAAAAAGTGATTTCCTTAAATCATTCACATTTAACACTCATGTCGTTGAACGACCTACCACCTAACTCACCCCCCCCCCTTCCAGGTGCGCTGCGGCACACGCACGTATGTCGTTGAACGACCTACCACCTAACTCACCCCCCTTCCAGGTGCGCTGCGGCACACGCACGCACACACACGCACGCACGCACGCACGCGCACACACACACTCTCACACACACACACATTCAGGGCCTCCTCCTAATCCCCAACCTAATTTGGCCATTTGTCAGTGGTTTTGAATGGGTATTTCGAGGTCCAATCGGATTTGAGGGCTGGCCGACATTTCAATACATGCCCACTTCTCATCGCTCTCTTTTGATTTAAACTGAAGCAATTGCGTAGTTTAGGGCTCTTTTGGGTCATATACCAGAAGCATTAGCCTCAGCCAACATCAGGTGAGTGATTCGTACTGTATACACTGTTAATAGTAATAATAAATATACTGTAACGTAATTGCATACAATGTTCATATGTACTTGAGAAAATTATTGGAAAATGTCCTAATTTGAAAAAGCAGAAGTTTACACACACTTTTAGATGGTTGTGGATTTGGTGTATATTTTTTAATGAGTTTTAATTGTATATTTTAACAAGGTATTGTTGGGGGGGGGACTTCTGGCGCTGTAAATGTATTAATCAAGTGTCAAACTGAGTAAAAATGCATCTTAGTTTCTTTTAATTTTCCTAAAACTTGTCTGACGAACTATTTTATCAAATGTGTGAAGAAGACACTCGCCAGCAACTTGGTTTGATTGTGTCTGCGCAACGTTGTTGGTTGGACCTTACAATGAATGGACCACGGATGGGTTTTTACGCTGAACAACATCTGGTGCTGTTTTTCATCCCACACGCCAGCTCACCGTTGTAATTGTGCGTCAGTGTCAGACTCTGACTCACATTTGGGGAAATGAATTTCAAAGACGGTAACGTTTTGTTCCAACTACTCCACTTCACACGTGATGACTCATTTAATTCTCGGATCTGGCTTCCTCCAGTGAACGTCTAAAGCCGGTGTGAGCCGGTTTATTGCTTCTCAACTGGAGCAAACCTGTTTAGTTCATAGACGTCAACATACGTAGACCCCTCCTTGTGTGGAATGGTCCCTGTACAAATTTACGTTAACGCATCCGCCATATTAAATGTGGCAACTCTGCCCGTAAACTATGTGCAAGTCAGTGAACTGAACTTTATAAAGCGACAAAGCATACAAAGTTAGTGGTTCTCATTCCGCCACTCAGACACACACATATTTTAAAAGAGTTTAAAAAAAATTGTGTTACAAAATATGTTCATCAGGTACAAATATGACTAAAAATGGAACATGTAGAATTATATGCAACATTTGTTATACATGTGCTCGCCATTGATAATATTGGCAGTCCATGTGTATAAAGGGGTTTTATGTTTGTTTTCATATTGTCGCTGTCCTGTGAAAAACATGTATGGCTATTTTTGTCATTTTAAAAAAGTTTTATGGGAATGGGGTGTCTGCATTTCAGACATCCCAATCAAGTCCATCCATCCATCAATTTTCTAATCCGTTTATCCTCACAAGGGTCGCAGGTGTGCTGGAACCTATCCCAGCTGTCTACGGGCTGAAGGCAGGGTACACCCTGAACTGGTTGCCAGCCAATCGCAGGGCACATACAGACGAACATCCATTTGCGCTCACAATCACACCTAGGTAATTTCGAGTGTTCCATTAACTTGCAAGGCATGTTTTTGGAATGTGGGAGGAAAGCGGAGTACCCGGAGAAAACCCATGCAGGCACGGGGAGGACATGCAAACTCCACACAGGAAGGCCGGAGTCGGACTCGAACCCCACCCCTCTGCACTGTGGGGCGAGGGGACTTGCTAAACCAGTCGTTCACCGTGCCGCCGCCCATCAATGTAAAAAATTAAAACATGACCAAAATGGACATACATGTTTTTCACATTAACGATATATGGGGTTACAAGTCGCACTTATATCCTCCTGACTACCAGGAAAAAAATGTTGTCCAATCACATTTATTTTGACATTCCCCAATCTATGTGAAGTAACTGGACTCCTCCAAAAAATTTTTTGAAATCCCACTACATTTTTTAAACAGGCTCAAATACACTTAAAACAACTCAAACAACACTTTAACGTGTTCATAAGAGTCTTATAATTAAAATGCCAACAGCATTTCAAGACAAAATGTGGTCGATAAAAAGTATTACTTTTCCTCTTCCCATAAAAAGTGCTTGCACTGAGGGAAGCCATTTTCTTACTTTTTCTAACCCCTACAAATTTGGTATCATTGGAAAGCACTGAATGTCCTCTTTAGAGTAACAAAAGGAGTTAATGCGATTGGAGGCACTGGGTGGGAGATATTTAGGTTCACAAATGTCCTCTACAGAGGACAAATTTGAATTACTGGTAGTCAGGAGGATATGTAAAATTATTTGTATATATGTTAAGAGTACCATATTTCATTTTGTTTGTTTTGTTTTTATTTTGGAATACATTATTGTAAATAAAAACCGACTAGCCTAACAATTTGAGCTGAGTAAAATATAGAGAACAAGGTGGAGGACTAGGTAGGTTTTGGTACTTTGTACATCTTCCTACTCCCTTTGAGCTAAGCAACTAACACCATTTAGAGTAGGCCGGAGCAATTTCAATGAGTTTTGTTGGGAGTCGGTTTTGAGTCGATATTGTGCACATACGAATTCTATTCCAAAAATTACATTTTAATGGCCAAATACAATAAAACGTCTCAAAAAACTTCCGTATTTTAAGATAACTGATTTAAGCAGTTTCTGCTCTTTATTTAAAATTAAGTTCATGTTTTAAGTTAATAAATCAGACCCTGATGGCACTGCACTCTTTATTCCCCATCCCAAAATGCTTTGCGGTGGTTAGTTGGTACTTGGCTAAAAAAAAAAATTAAAAATCTTTCGCGGGCGGGCATCATTGAAAAAAGGTTGAGACCATTGTACTAGTGCACAGAAATGTCATACTTTATGCATAACAGTAGTGGAAAAAGGTCACTCGTAAAACGTAGTCGGCGTATTAGTGCAGCTTAGTGGTCATTCGAGTAATGCACTCTAGTCAATCTTGTAGTGCGTCTTAGTTGTTCGACCAGTGCACACTCGGTCTCCGTGTGCGCTTAATTCTTTTACCCGGGAAAACGGAGTTTGGCATGGATTCATAATTCAAAGCGCTATAGAAATAGATCAAACGCCTCAATTTGATGTTGCCGTGTACGTACGGCGCCGCGCCGAGGTTTTGTGTACATTTTGCTGTATGGTTCAGCCAACCAGCATCAAAACACAAAAGAGGCGAGTTTTGCAATCGCCAAATACTGCACTCGGCCAGTCGCATGAATAAGCCTTTTTTTCAATTAGATACTACTCTGCATCTCAGTATTACCTACATAGAACATATATATTTTTAAACGAAATCGACGACTGAACAAACAGTACAGAAGAGTACGCCATATTCAAAAGAACCCAATACCGAACTAATAAGACCAATACAAAATAATTGTAGTGGTTTTACCACATCACATATAAGAATAATATTTTTTTACAAAGCTGGACGCTACAAAATTTGTCCCACGTTGCATGAGGAAGGTCTTGCGTGCTTTTCTGCGCTGCACGCAACCGCTTTCTGAGCTCCGCGCGTTCATGACGGACAAGTTTGCGCGTCCGCGTTTGAATACCAGCTTGAGCCGGTAAAGAGCTGTCAAAACAGGCAGGAGTACGTTGACTGCCAGACCGGCTACAAGAGGTGCGGATGAGAAGATGCCGCCGCTTCCGCCGCCACATTTGTCATTTAAACCAAATTGTTAGCGACTGTCCATGTCTTAGCCGCAGCGACAAGTAACCTCGTTGGCAATGAGATGTTTTATGGGCAAGCTCGAGTACGACTCCTCACGATCGAGTAGAGCAGCAAAGCAATGAGGAAGAATTTGTGTTAGTTCCACCAGCTGGCAACACTTCCTCTGTTCAAGAGCTATTCTCCTCCGGTCACCGCTCTGTCGGTAAGTCACTAGTTAATTTCACGACCGCCTTTGCTGGATGCTGTCTGGTCTCAGCCGGCTGCTCTCGCTCGGCGGATTGCTTTGTTACTAGTGTTCGTGTGGATGCGCTTTGTCTATTACATAGGTTCAACGTATAGAACACAGCACAGTAACACACCAGTGCCCGCGTCGAGGTTCACATTTAAGTGAATTGTGAGTGTAAAATGAAGGTAAATATCGGAATGTCTGTCACTCGATACAAACAGCAGAGGACAGTAAGTGCTGCGGGCTGTTTCGAGTCATCCTGTAGCCTGCATTGCATGGTCACAAACCACTGGGATGCCGCACACTTGCATCACCATCCCTTCTGCACTGCGGATGTCCTGAACCACATAGCACGCATTGCTTTAATGGCCGCATTTGCAAACTATAAAGACACAAAATAAAAGAACAAAATATTAAGGTTCTGGAAGCCTAGATTGCGAAGAAATCCCACCACTACACCCGCTATGTGCCAAGTGGGATGCATCACAGTACATCCATTTCTAAAAAGGTGACTTACTTCAGCAAACAGACATGGATGGATGGATGGCTAGATAAATAGATAGATTATTCAACTTTTTTTCTGCCCATCTCTCTTCCTCTGCTTCAAGGAGGAGTCTCCAAGTCTGGTCCTTGTGTGCCCCTATCCAGCCTGCTTTATAGGATCATCTTGATCATTTGAATCAGGTTATCATATAAAGCAGGCTGGATAGTGGCTCACAAGGACCGAAGTAGACCCCTGGCCTAAAGTAGAACGGCAAAGTCAAGTCAACCCCCCCCCCCCCCACCACACACACACACACACAAACTCAGATGGATAAAAAAACAAGTGGATGTTTCTGCTTAAGTCATATTTCACAAATTTAACCGTTTCAGGGACAGCGATTATTACAGTGGAAAGCTTATCATGTTATCAGGTTACAGCGGGGGTCGGCAACACGTGGCTCCAGAGCCGCATGCGGCTCTTTAGCGACATCTAGTGGAGCTTTATAAAAAATGTTTGAAAATGGAAAAAGATTTTGATAGTAGGCTAATATAGCTCAAATAGATATAGGAATATGTTGCAGCTCCGAAAAAGGAGCGCTGTGGTGTTGGTTTTTTAAGACGTACACTTTATTTATGCTTTTAACAGTCTCGACAAACACAGAAACGTCTGCATCTGACTCCGTGCCTTCTCTCTTCTCGTTCAACTCGAGAGGCGTTCAAAGACAGCCTCCGAAAAACGGAAATTCATGATCACTTCACTGACACTAAGAAAAGCGAAAATAATGCACCAAATCAAAAAAAATCAAGCGAGGAAATCACAAAATAAATTCAACATTTTGGGTTGCCGACCCCTGGGTTACAGGGTGCATGAAAGGGTTAATATAAATCAGAATACTGTGTTTGGACTGGTGGGGGCACAGAACAAACTGGAAAGAAAATGTTTGACTTGACTTCCCCTCGAAGCGAGCTGCTTGGATTTTAGCCCATAGTGTTGGTCACAGTTGATGGCATCAACTGTGCCATCAACTAGCATCAACTCGAAGCGAGCTGCTTGGATTTTAGCCCATAGTGTTTGTCACAGTTGATGCTAAATAAAGACATCCACTTGATAGTAGATTACATACACCAGATCAATGGCGCACTTCAGATCTTGGCAGTTGCTCCTGATGCTGCATCATCAGTAGGTGAATGGAAGACAGGAATAAAAAGCTTTGAGTAGCTCAAAGGTAGAAAAGAGCTACACCTGGACAATTTACCATTTACCATGTGTAAAGAATAAAGAACCCTGGACTGTTTGGAATGACCGGCAATAAGCCTGCAAAACATCCTGACAACTCGTACCCACATTTAAAGGACGGTTTTGCGCTTTGTGAGTGGAGGAGGCAACTAAACATGATTGAGATACAGGAAAGAAACTAATCACTCTTTAGAATTTGGGGGACTCACTAAACACATTAAAGCCATGTTTTTGTTATACAGTATCTTGCCCCAATTGTTTTGCCGTAGTCCAAAACCAAAAAAAGCACAGTCCATCAAGGCACATTCTATCATGCAGTGCAGCCCACGCATACCCGATTACTGTCCCACCCCTACTAAAAAGCTAAAGCTAATGTTTCGGCAGACAGTTTCAAGATTATCAAAAATGTCATTCCTTGCAAGTTTGTGGTTATCAACAGCAAAGTTTTGCAGTTCATTGAATATGTCCCATGGAAATACCTCAACCAGTTTATCTTGCTCATCCACATAAATTTCCTGCCTTTTTTTTTTTTTTTTTTTTTTTAGTCCACAACATCATCCTTACAAAATAAGTCAGACTCATTATCAGAATTTGTGATTCGCTTCTTCCATGTTTTCTGTTGCGGCGCACACCTGATCGAAGCCAAAAGCTGACTACCACTACAAGAGATGCAAAATACGGTCACACTAACAGTTTCAAATGTTATTGCGGTTCACGGTCAATCGGAAACGGTTTTGTCCCCAACCCAAAATAAACTTTAGCTTCTCTTCAAAAATCACCAGTGTAGCTTTTGTGATCTTATACCAGGCAAATATACAAAATCGTTTCATAAGGCCCAAAAAAGGAGCGAAGCAACATAATAACATTTTAAGTTACTGTAACAGAAGTGTATTCTGATAGGAAATGAAATCTGATTTGTCAAATTCTTCAAGGTATCACCAGCCTCCGCTTGATAAAATCTAGGTGTCTTTTCCAGTAATTTCTGCCAAGTTCTGCTTCTCAGTCACGCTATCAAGTTTAGCTTCCCAAGTTGAAGGTCCACTCATTATTAATAGGTGTAGCTTTCCGTAGTTTGGCATACAGTAGTTGAGATTCAACTTGACCATGTTTTGGATGATTCGATTTTATTTGGGGACATTTTTGCAGAAAAGGTGAATGAAGTGCTGCTGAGCACGGAAGACATTTGGCTTTCATGTGACATTTTGAGCCAATTTTTCACGCATATTCCAACAACGTTGTACTGTGTTTTTCAAGTGTGCTTTGGTGCCCCATGATTGTCTTGTGTGACAAGGAAGTAAATTGCTAGTTTTTCTAAAAATGAATTAATAGGTCAGTAATCAAAGCCGATCCCATCAATTGGTGTTTATCAGATGTTCCACTGGTTAGTTAAGGCTCACTTATGTCTCGTCCCATGATGGTCTTATGGCAAATCAGAGAAAGAAACTAAGTTGGATTTTGTTTCTTGTTTTCAATGACACATTATTGGCTATTCTTGCCCAGCCTTGGGTAGATTTGAATTTGTATTTCATTTTTCACACAACACCAATTATTCACACTTGCGCTCCAATGAATCATGGCACCCCTACAGAATACTTGAGTGAGTGACGACCAGTACTCGTAGATTTGAGGATGGAGGATTTGGGTGGGTTTGTATTTACCGTGTCACAGTACATTTAAATGACCATACCTTGCCCAAAATGTGACATCAAATGTATGTGAAATAGTCATGCATCATGAAATTCCATTCGCTATGAGTAGCATAGGACAGTATGGAAAGCGTTTATTGTCATTGTCGGTAAAAGATACTGGGGCACAACTCCAGAAAAAGAAGAAGAAGACACAATCATAGAAAATTAAAGACCGAACCAAAAAGTACAACTCTTGCCATGTATAACATGCCAAACACATGGTTCAACCGTAGTGACACAGAACAATGACATACTCCACCATAGTGAACCCACCTGTTGAAATTCGCCTCGTCAAAATCCGTTACACGGGCCTGATAGTGCTAATGTATTCTGTTCTTGTCACAGTCATGAAGGCCTCCATTTCCCATGGTTGCCTGGGTCCAAATGTGTACACGGAGGTGCCCGAAGGTGGCTGGGGCTGGGCTGTAGCTGCCACCTTCTTCATCGTGGAGATCTGCACCTATGGGGCTCTCAAGAGCCTGGGGATCTTTCTCCAGGATTTGATGGAGGAATTTGAGGAGAGTACCAGTCGGGTTTCATGGGTCATCTCCATCTGCGTCTTCATCTTCACTTTTACCGGTGAGTTGTTTGATGGTGGTATGTTTGGTAGCTCTCTTCTCATATTCACCTTTTCATGCACCAATAATGATAACCTGTAACCTGAGGACATGATAAACTGTCCACTGTAGTAACTGCTGTCTCTGAAAGGGTTAAACAGTATTCATCAAAAATCCAAAAGCTTGTTTAGGGTGTGTGTCATGACGAAAGAGCAAACGGATGTTTATAAAATTATACAAAGGTCTGGGGGTACTTAAGCGTGTATACCAATTATAAGTAACTTAGTACATGAATGCTGATTAGTTTGACAAAGACTTAGGGGTTGAACAATTCATCACCTCTGGAAACAAATACTTTGTTGTGGTCTCAGCCACGATGAAGTTATTGATCCCCATGCTGTTTCTTCCCCGCAGCCCCCCTGTCCACCATGTTGAGCAATCGTTTTGGCCATCGCACCATCGTAATGCTGGGGGGCGTCCTCATCAGCTTGGGTACCATCACCTCCGCTTTCACCAACTCCATCAACGAGATGTACATCACCATTGGCATAGTCTCAGGTAATTCATATGAGCCTCGTTTGTCTGCAGCTATCTCTGCATCCAGCTGTGTGTCGTATGCCTGTCTGTCCTGCCGCTTTGTGACATTTACAGGGCTGTACCGTTGCAGACATGTCCCGTCTGACACCTTATTTATTTTGAACCAAAGGGACTTCTAGCAGTGTCAACAGCCAAATCCGTTTCTTCCAGAACTGTCCAGTGAACACGTACCTCGCTGTCTATGAAAGACGGACACAACTTCTGCTGCAAATTACGACAACAAACATTTTCAGACGTAGTGCTGGACATTGACTGTATGAAAGTAATAGATTCTAAATTCCTTTGCAGATGATGAGTTAATTCGTGAAATGAGATGTGGATGTGAACTTGTTTTGGGTTTTTTGGGGTTTTTTTTTGTTTTCTGGACAGAAAGCACTGCTAGCTCTCCCACCCTGACTGCCGTGTCTCCCTTTTAACTGACCACAACTAACTCGACAATCCCTTTTCTCTTCTCTCCCCGTCTCTTTTTTTTTTGTCTTTACATGCCTTTGTCTTTCAGCTGCTGCTGTAGTAAAGCTGAACCCTCCCAAGCAACCCGCCAGCTCTGACACAGGAGTGACCTGACACCCTGACCTTTGACCCAACCCCCTAGCCATGCTGTGTTCCTACCATGCGGGCCAGTGGCTGTCATGTCCCCTTTTTCTTGTCTCCTCTTTGTTTACAGGCTTTGGCTACTGCCTTACCTTCCTCCCCACTGTCACAATTCTTGCCCAGTACTTCTCCAGGCGTCGGGCCCTCGTCACCTCTGCTGCTTCTTCCGGGGAATCTTTCGCCATCTTTGCATTTGCACCAGGTGAGAATTCAGTAGGTCATACACTTGCAGAAGACAGAAACAATTGTGTCAAAAATATTGACATTTGTATGTACACTGTGTTCCTTCTAAAATCCAATTGAGACTGTGACCACAATGGTCGCATATGCGACCCTTTTTGCCTCTCAGTGTGTGGGAATAAGAATTTCATCTTATCTCGTCGCGTTTGTGCAAGTGCATGTATTTTAATGGTCCCTCCAACACGGGCACTGTATTAGACCTTGTGGTTAAAGGCCACCTTTTTCAGTCCTTCATAGTTTCCACATTGTGCATACAATTTGGACTTGCATGTGAACCACGGATACAGAGGTTATTCCATTTGTACAGCAACATGTGAGTCATGTCGACATGGCTCCATACATACGCACTCATCCACGCAGGCCCATTGATAAACACGCTGCATGCAAGCACATTTGCAGTATGATTGAAATGAAATGAAAAGTAAAAATAAACAGAGTTTCTGTGGTTTTTGTAACAAATATAATGGACTGGTATGCTAGCATATCTTTTCTTATAAGCGCTGTTTGCATGTGTAGTTGATGGCGCTGATAAGCGTTCAGTGCACACAGACTGAAGACCAAGATTATAGTTGACAATAATGAATGAAATGACATTGAAAAAACATTTTTGTATGGAGTATAAAAATGAATGTTTTTTGTTGTTTTTTTTTTTTTTTTGTTACAACAAACTGAAACTACATTTTAAATTTATAAAACTATCTGTAATTATAGCGAAAATGTCCATTGTTTTCATTTTTGACAATTAATGTCATTATTTCATTCATGAGCATTTGGCATTGATTTTATATTACATTTATTTATTTCCGTATTACTTTATAGCCCAACTGTACTTTACTTTATATACTAACAAACCAGCTCTAAAAACAAATCAAAATGAACTGGATTTGAAAAACAAAAGTCAAACGTAATAAAAACGTTATCCCTTTCATAGGGATTGGAAATTGATCATGTGATTCAGCAATCCAAAAAACAATTTACCACTAACCCTTTCATGCACCCTGTAGCCTGATAACATGATAAGCTGTCCAGTGTAGTAACCGCTATCCCTGAAAGGGACAATGAAAAAATACAATACATCCTGATTTATATAGCGCTTTCACAACAGCTGCAGCTGGAACAAAGCGCTTAACAAAACAGTTAACATAACAAATTTCTTATAAGCCTGCTGAAAACTGGTGACAAAACCACACACTCAACCTCCACTCCCAACATATAATTTATGACACTGACATCTCAACAGTTTAGTACAGTTTGAAGCATGCCCAGGCAAATGGTACTGCATGCCTCTCTGTGTAATGTTAATGAAAAATCAGCTCAAAATCGATAATGGTAGGCATGTTGAGAATTTGTTGTATAGAGTGGTTGGTCTACTTACGAAATTAATTTGTTCTGGAAGAAAGTTCTTATCCTGAAAATTTTGTAAGTAGAGATGCATTTTCCATGTAAATGACCTAATCCGTTCTAAGTCCCCCCAAAATTCAGACATAAATGTTTTCTAAAGCATAAAAATGCATCAAAATATCTAACAAATATGTTACAATTGGATTATTGCACAATAAATGAGAGTTGTGCATAATGTACAAAACAAAGAATGGAGTAAAAAATAAAAATGATGGTCATTTAACTTTTAACTGCTTCCTCATCATTTTTTGCCCTCTTTTGTTCATGTTCTCTCTCCAAAGTGGTTTTTGCCTCACATTTTGTCTTGAACTGATCTTTTGTTGGCTTTTAACAATCCTTCAAAAATGGCCAACGGCAAACAACATCATAGTGAGCGATGCCCCTGCTAGTGAACACTTTTTCTGGGTGATTCACATTTACGTAAAACTATCGGACCGCCTCATGGCCCGAGGGGCAAATGACGAGGACGATGCATAGACACATATCTGTCTATTTATCTATCTACACAATTGGACATACAGTATACGGTAGAGGTCCCTCTCAGCCAATGGGATGCCAGGATGATGCTCGTAGTAGCCAATGGCAGAGCAGCTATGAGTATGTTGCGTTCAGGAAACTCAGAGCTGTGAGTAGCAGCCCAGAGTGTATTTTTACCTTTCGTATCTTGAAATTCATTTCGTAACAAGAGGCAATATTTTCCTGTTGAGGCGTTTCCTAACTTGAAAATTTCATATGAAGAGACGTTCGTAAGTAGAGGTACCACTGTACTGAGAAATTTGGTAGCACCAGTGCTACCAGTGGAAAATTGGGGTCGGGCGTTTTCTTAAACTCTACAGCCGCACAATGCAGTTGTTGAGAGCATTTCTGCCTCTCAGTCAACAGGAAACACCACAGCCACTCAAAATGATGAATTACTATTATAACAGTGCTCTCATAGATGAGAGAATGGACAGTGACCTCCTAGGCTGGTGATTTGTCCACTTTCCACGATCTCACAGTGTTGCCCTTGTAAACTTTGCTGAGTCATTTTTTTTTTCATGTTCACTGACTTTCTTGCATTGAGGGAAATAAGACCAAATAATGACTTTGGACTGAGTACAATCATAACACACCCATCCGAAATAAAAATGTCTATTGAGGATGTAAAACCTCAATATGAATGCTTGACTCAATAGTCACACACGAAATTGAAAACTTGTTTTGTGTCTCCACAGCCTTCACAAAGCTGAAGCAGCACATCGGATGGCGGCGCTGTCTCATTGTCCTTGGGGTTTTTCAATCTTGTATTATTGCTTGTGGCCTTCTTCTTCGCCCAATCATCATCCGGCCGGAGCTTGAAAAGGAGGACAATGAAATGGTCGAGCAACTCCCTCTGGAACAGCTGCAGGAGGTTTATGAGTTGGAAAATGAACAAACCAGAACCTCCATCAGTTCAGGAGGTTCCCAGAGTTCAGAGGACTCAGGGGTCACTTCCCTTTCTGCCTCAAATGTGGATTTGGGGATGGCAGGAGTGGAAATCAAGGCGGAGTGGGAGCTGCAGGGCCAAGAGGATCAGGAACTGTCATCGTCCACACCTCCCTCCCCATTCAAGGCGTATTCTGAGACAAACATGTCAGGTCCTCCCGTGTCACCCCAATCCAAACTGCTGGATTTCTCCGTCCTGAAAGACGGCGCCTTCATTTGCTACTCGCTCTTCGGCCTCTTCGCCACTCTGGGCTTTTTTGCCCCTCAGCTCTACATCGTCGAACTGACTAAAAGCCATGGCGTGGAGCCCAGCATGGCGTCCTATATGCTCTCTGTGATGGCGGTGGCCGAGATCTTTGGCCGTCTGTCCATTGGCGTGTTGCTGAACAAAGTCACTTGCAGAAAGACCCTGGTGTTGCTCTGGTGTGTTGTTTTTTTGTGTCTGGTGCTGGTGGCCTTCACCGTCGTACGGGACTTCTGGGGCCTGGTGGTCTGCTGTGCCATCTACGGCTACTTCCTGGGCACCGTGGGCTCCACGCACATCCCCATGCTGGCAGAGGAGGACGTGGTGGGCATTGACAAAATGGCCACATCTGTGGGAGTCTACGTTTTTATTCAGAGCTTTGCTGGACTTGCCGGACCACCTCTAGGAGGTAGAACATTGTTTGGCTTTGTCAGATGGCAAATTATGTTGACCTTCATCGCTCGGCTGTATTTCCCTCCTAAAATGTTGTTCCCTTTCTCCCCAGGTGTGTTGGTGGACATCACCAATAATTACGGTGCTGCTTTTTACTCCTGTGCCGTCGGGATGGGGCTCAGTGCCGTCTGTCTCGCTCTGGTTGGTCCAGTCAAGTCTGGTATGTGCCGGAAGCGGAAAGGTGAACTTGCGGAGGAGGGAGAGAAAACTTTCCAGGACAACGACCTGCCGGACTTTTTGGAGGTGGATATGGCAGTCGAGGACAGCCCCATGAAAAAGTCTATGTCTGGAGACAACACTTGTGTAATATGAGCCCGGAAGAGCCTCAGCAGATGAAAAGAAACAACAACAAATCCGACACAGAGGAGGAGACCGCCAAATTTCCATCACCTATCGACAGCTGCTGCTCGTTTTCCAATCTCAGGTGTCGCTCACTGACAAGCTTGAAGCTCAATCTAAAGGAGACCAAAGACAGCCATGCTGAGCACATGGTTTCAAATCTTTGTCGACTCTGACACACGGTCTGCTTATAAACACTTTTCACAGGCTTCTGTAACTCCCACCAGACCCATTCCATTTTATTTATATAAGCGCCAAATCACAACAGAAGTTGTCTCAGGGCACTTTCCACACGGAGGAGGTCTCGAGCCACACTCCTCACTCATGAAGACCCCGCATGAGCAAGCACAACGCAAGACTGAAATTATGCAGTGCACACAAGAACCCTGCTCATGTTAAGGCATGCAACCTGTCTGCATGTCCATGATCATCAAGATTCAGATGTCGGCGCAGAAAAAGACCGAAAGATAAAACAGCACATCAGGTCTTGTGCGATTTTTGCTACCTGAGTGCATATGATGCAATGAGAATAAAAAAAATAAAAAAAAAGTCAACTGAAATGTCATTGATCCACACAGCCTGTCTGACTTCTGTGTTAAAATATATTTCGCGTCTTCAAGTCACAGCAATATTTGCAATCGTTGACTAAATCAGGGAGCTCCTGCTAACTTGTGTGAGGGGATCCCGAAGGCAGCGAGTGTTCATTTCAAGATTTCGCACAAGCCTTACAAACTTCAGCACGTTAGTTCTTGTTTTCACTCTAAGGCATTGATTTTATTTGTACATTGTTACTCTGTTCGTATTCATTGCCATTAGAATGACCTTGTTACACAACAGCATACGTGTTGGAAAAGCGATAATGATCTGAAATATCAGCGTTCAGAATACAGTGGAGCCCTGCATACTCGCATACTTGTTTTTTTTTTTCAGTATTAAAAAAAATAAGATTTTGGGTGAGAGGCAACCTCTTGCTTTTGTACAGAAAGCTTGTCGGTGGTTTATCACTGCTTTACAACAATTTTGGGGGGGGTTCATTTTTATTTTATTTTATTTTATCTTTTTTTAATGCATTTCAATTGCTGTCATTTATACACGAATTTTCACTATTGTTGGACTGGTCTGATCTTTCCCCTACAAATAGAGGGGTCCAATGTCATACAGACCTAAATGCACTGGTACACGTTGAACGAGATGGGCATGTATGTTTCATTATGCAATATGTGTGAATGAAATGTTTGTCAGGACAAAGATGTTGCTCCTCCACTCTCATGACAGTGCACACCCTCACCTGAAGTTTAGTTCCCAAACCCTTCTGTCGTTGCTGTTTACCTTTTATTCATACTGTTTCGAATGAAAATTTGTTCATTTTCAGTGCCAGTCTTTTTTTAACAAACACTTTGCAGCCAGCTGTCTGTTATGTCTTGATTTCATAGTTGGGTTTTTTTAATTAAAAAAAAAAAGTCTTAATTTAAGAGTTTTTTGGAGGGTGATTTGTTGTTGTTGTTTTGGTTTTTGTTTGACATGATTTATTGTTATAACAGTGTACCGCGATGCAGGGCTGGCTATATGCTGGGTCAAAAGGGGGCAAGGTATCATGACATACGGTGTGTTTTTACACACATTATTGCTATTTTTCCTCATTTAAGTACACATTACAATTGTTTGAGGGGGTACTGCTGGAATGGATCTCGGGCATTTTACATTCATTTCACTGTTAAAAGATGATTTGAGATAAGAATAATAAGAATAAGAAAACCTTTATTCGTCTCACGATGAAGAAATTCCCAATTTACAGCAGCAAGTTATGAAAGGAAGGAAGTAGAACAACAAGTATCGAAGCTGCTGTAAAGGCAGCCAGTCTCGCGGCGCCATCTTGAAGTCAAAATGCAAGATACAAGAGTTTTGAGCAGAGATCTGAAGGCATAACAGTATGCAATGTCAAACAAACTTGATATTCAACCTTACATGCACAAATAATGATTACAGCAGGATTTTGTTTTGTTACACTTAGGGCAGGAAACAATCTTTTTAACATCGATTTTTCAAGGAGATGCTGACATGTCCACTAGGGTGGATAATGTGCATTTGAACAAATGTTGAAAGATGTTTGTCATAAAACAGTGACAACACTACAAAACATGTTTTTTTTTCATCTTGAACATTGTGTTCACATATTTTTAACATGTGTCCATACTGGCGAATATATTGCAAAAACATTCAACAAAAGAAAAATTAACTCCAAGCATAACAAATAAACAGGCCTACTACTACATATTGCGGCCTGGTGGTCCAATGGTTAGCGCGCTGACCTCACAGTGAAAAGGGTTCAATTCCAGCTCCGGCCTCCCTGTGTGGAGTTTGCATGTTCTCCCCCGTGCCTGCGTGGATTTTCTCCGGGTACTCCGGTTTCCTCCCACATTCCAAAAACATGCATGGCAGGCTGATTCAACACTCTAAATTGTCCCTAGGTGTGAGTGTGAGCGCGGATGGTTGTTTGTCTCTGTGTGCCCTGCGATTGGCTGGCAACCGGTTTAGGGTTGCCTGAACCTCAATATTCACTCTCCACTCCCCTAAAAAAGGAGGTCCCTCCATTGTCTTTGCTTTCCCGGACAAGTCTGTTTTTTTGGGTTCTTGGGTGCTTTGTTTGGTGGGATATACTTGTCAGACCCCAAAGACAAACTTATACATATGATACACGATCTTCTAAAAGGAAGGAATAGGGCAACACAAATATGTCAGAAACATTGATGAAGGCCACACAAAGATGTCTGGTCAGAACACAATGCACTACTGTGCTAAGAGGAGTTCACAAGCTCATTTGCGCAAGCACGTCACGAACGCGCCGTCTCAAGGTAGCCACTTCCACTCCTCAGAGGTTGTTATCTTATTTCAGCCTGAGAATGTTGGTGAAGCCTTCAAATCCAGAACACAACATGGGGCTCCACATTTCTCACTCGGCACCTCCACTCCTTAATAATGGCTTATCTCGTCCAAGCTTGGGAACCGGCTGGCCCCCCCGCCTTCAACATTATTCTTCACTGTCTCTCTCAGTGAAGCATTGCAACATTGCAAGGCACACACAGACAGACGAAAGACCATCCACGCTCACACTCACACCTAGGGACAATTTAGAGTGTTCAACCAGCATGCAAAGAATGTTTTTGGAATGTGGGAGGAAACCGGCGTACCCGAAGAAAACCCATGCAGGCCCGGAGAGAACATGCAAACTCCACACAGGGAGGCCGCAGTTGGAATTGAACCTGGTACCTTTGCACTGTGAGGTCGATGCGCTCACCACTGGGCTACCCTAACCCGCTTTGTAGTAATGTAACAGTAAATATGGGATAACTTTATGTACATTTATTCTATCAATACTCCAGTCCCTAAGCTACAACAGCCTCATTTTTCTCAGCATCCTCATCTTCACAATCGCTCCTGCTGCCATTTGCTACTCTCTTTTTTTTTTTTTTTTTTGGGGAACCATTCATCATCAACGTTGCCGACATCATCCTCACTTGAGTCAAATGTGTGGTTGACAATCCTGTAGGCTTTGCTTGCATGCTCTGCACCAGACCACTACAAAATATAAGGACACTGATCACAACACTCATATGAAGACTAAAATCCATAAAATATTGCTACAGTAAAAATCGAATTTATTTCCAGTGAATAACTTCTTTGTTTGTTTATTGTTTATTGAACATATAAAACATACAATACAATAACAGATTGACAAAAGTGAAGGCAAGTAAAAATTATAAAAAGAAAAAATAAAGACAGACATCATCACAGTTTTATGTTCAAAGGAGTAGGAAGAAGTAAATAACTTATCTAGTCCTACCCCTTGTTATGTAGCAGTATATGGATTGATCTTTTCAATACAAAGAAGAAAAGAAAAAATCTACATATCAAATACTTTTACCCTTATGTGTACTGTACTTATCTATTTATGCACCTTTCGGTTTGTATATATATATATATATACTCATTTTTTCTCCGTTATATATCAATTGTCTCATATTCATTATAAATACTGCATTTCTTTCATACATTAACTGCAGAGAGAACCCAGTTCACCAGTGGTTAGCGCATCGGCTTCACAGCGCAGAGGTCATGGGTTCGATCGCGACTCTGGTTTGCATGTTCTCCTGTGTGGGTTTTCTCCGGGTACTCCGGTTTCCTCCCACATTCCAAAAACATGCAGGGCAGGCTGATTGAACACTCTGAATTGTCCCTAGGTGTGAGTGTGAGCGCGGATGGTTGTTCGTCTCTGTGTGCCCTGCGACTGGCAACCGGTTCACTGTGTATCCCGCCTACTGCCCGAAGACAGCTGGGATAGGCTCCAGCACACCCATGACCCTTGTGAGGATAAAAATCGGATCGGAAAATGGATGGATGGATGAAAGTAACTGCAGATAAAGTATTTTCAAAAACAACAAAGTTGCAGTAATACTATAAACAGTAGTCAAACTGTAGCTAATGATGCACAATGTCCAATTTAGTGGACACATGATCAATCGCAATTTCCTCAAATCACAAAATCAATACTTGGATATTTAAACAATTATATTACTCCTTAGTTGTCGCCCGGTGATTCAATATGTCTATCTGCAATGGTCTCCTCGAATGAAAGGAATATAGTTATTCCTTCCCTGCACGGCACATCTGCACTTCCGTGTGCCATCTTGTTTCAGAAAAAAACAAATTTAAAAATGCAAACCTGACCAGTGGATGACAGTGTATTGCCTGGCTGATGCGCATTGCCTAACTGTGACATTAAGATTCATTCACATAGGGGAAAACAATGTTTGAATGGCTGTCCACTGTAGTAACCACTGTGCCTGATTGAGTTCCATTTCAGCTCCACTGATTCAAGCCAAAACTGAGTTCAGGACATCGACTAGTAACAAACAAGTGACTCGAGGACATCGTCATAAAGTCATGGCACGGTATCACATGCTGACATTTTTGTTTGCTGGTCTTCATGGATTCCTAATTTTGGGGAGCGGTTGACTTCCCAACAAATCTTACATTTATAGTTATCAGATTAATTGGAATTGCGATTAAAATAAATTATTTTTGGAACAGCAGTGGTGGGTGGGCGTGTTCAACCCACTCATACACCACATGAAACAAGCGCCAAACACAAATTATCACACTAATAATTCGATCTCAAAAGGATGTTTGTACACACGCCCAAATGATCATCGGTCATGATGCATTCCATCATGACCGATGATTGGAATGCTATTTGGACTTCAAATAACTGCATGTGCGGGGGGAAAAAGGTTAACTCATATAAGTGAGCCAAATCATGCTACCGTGGCGTCACTGTGCCAGGTTTAGGCAGGGACAAATTTGTTGATACCCCTTTGCGATTAAAACAAAAACCCACAAAAACAGACATTTGCTTTCATGTGGTTAAAAAAAAAAATTATTAAAACAAAAAATTAACAGGCCCGAAAAAACAACCTTTTGAGGCTATCATGCTATCAAATAAATCTTTCTTGCAACTTTTGCAATTGTCGGCAGGTATTGTGACACATTCCAGTTGTCTCAGATTTAAAGGGTGCATTCTCCAGACGGCGCATTTCAACTAAACATGAAGTTTAGCAATTAAATGTGTTTGTTTTTTCCATCAGTGGTGCTCTCCTTGGTTGTCTCCCACAAAGTCCGCGTTGCCTCAAACAACAATGAGTAGTGCGATCTCACACTGTTGTACCTTAGCCGTGGAGCTCACCTTCAATTTCTTTGGAGGTTATCCTGGGCTTTATTCTTAGAATTCATCGTGCCCATTTCAATTTTCCTCCTGTGTCAACATCCAGGAAGGTTAAGGCCCGGATTCCTTCATCCCCCCTGAACCTGAGGCCATAATCCAACAAAGGTGAAGGAAAGGTGGCATAAAGGTTCAGAGATTTGATTTTAGGAAGTGTCCCCATTTCTCTACATTCAAATGATTTTTTTACCTTTAAATTTAAAAGATCTTTTCCAGTACCATCATTTTGGTCGAGTCGTGATTCATGAGTTTATTTGTTTGTATGTTTTCAAATAATTCTGTTCATCCACAATTTAAAAACAATGTCTGATTTTCATTTGTTAATTGTCATTAAATTTTCATTTATTATTACTTTTTGTCAGATTCAAGTTATTTCTGGGACCACTGTGTATGTGTTTTTTTTTTCATTAACAGTATGTCCATTTGTAACTGTAGTTGCTGATTGCTAGAGGGCTTTGTTGAAAATAATATGTTTGGTTTGTTTTAAAGTCTCGGAAAGAGTCAGCTGCTTCATTGAATGCCTCTTTCACCATCTCTCCATCTTGGAAGCACTTTTTATTTTTTTGCTGCATGATGAACTCACTCACCCAGAAATACGCTTCAGTGACTGCTTTTGCATTTGTGGTCATCTGTTTCTTTACTCGTTTGGTTTGTGTGATTGTTTGTGATTATATGACTGTGCTCTTTGAAATAATTCAGCTGTGACAAAAAAGATTGCCGTTACACATTTCCTTTTGTAGTAACCAAGCACAAGTCATGCAACGATGTTGGGAAGGGCCCCTTTATCAAACTATGGTTAGGGCCCCGTCAGCTTGGTCTGACACTGATGGCACTTTTTGTTTTTATTTAACCCGTTCAGGGACAGCGGTTACTCCAGTGGACAGCGTACCATGTTATCGGGTTACAGGGTGCATGAAAGGGTTAATTTTGGTTTATTTGTGTGCTGTATGTCTGGACAGCTTGCAATTGAAACACGCCCCCCCCCCCACCACACACACACTCACCAACACACACACACACCCACACCCAAA